TATTTAATAATTTGTTGTTCTTGTCGCCTTCACATGAAATTTTTGCTGACGTCGCGTCTGAGAGCGTTTTTGTTCGACGCTTCGAGCGAGCGAGCGACAGACATAAAAAGAGAGCCGAAAGCTCTGTCGTGGAGAAGGGGTTCCGGGAGACAAAGGGGGGGAGCTAGAAGAGGGGGCCTGAAAGCTGCGGAAAAAAGGAAAGCCGAACTTGTACCGAAAGCGGCAAATTGATAAGCCAGCCTAGACAACAATAAACGAAATAAAACAGATTGTAAATCGCTGACTGAACTGAAAAACTGAAAACTGATGCCAAAAAAATGTATATACAAATCTGTATATATATATATTATATATACTTATGTTTAAATATCCACATTTTGTCTTCTCTGATTTCTTAGATTTTTTAACAATTATTGACACTTTCTGGGGGGAAAGTTAGCTTGGACAAGCGAATTGATCAAATTCCTAGGTCACTTCATAAATATCTTTCTCTCTCTCCTCTTTCGATTGCGGAAGAGCAATTAAATTAAAATTATGGAAAATATACACAACAAAATGATGCTATAAAAATGTTGTTAATATCGTTAACTATATTTGAGAGCGCGTTTTGCTGGAACTCGAGCAAAAATAATTGTTGTAAACAGGAAACAGTTTAGTGAACTGCCTCGCTGCCGGCATGCAAAGCGATCGGACCATAAATTAAGGGCAATCAAATCGATCCAACGATCCGCCAAAAAATGTGGACTTGCCAAAACACAAGTTTATCGATAAATCGAATCTTAATTGGAGGCGAATTTAGCATGCCTGATTGGAGATCGGAGATCGCATGGCCAGGGGTATGAGGCTGGGACTCGCACACAGCCCGAGATAGCTTGACGCCATCTTAGGCTGTTATGCTAATTAAATCAATTCCGTTTAGATCAGCGACACTCTGGGCTCAGCGGTTCACTTGGCGTATGCGCAATCTTTTGTGGCTACGCACCACGCATACGCCGTGTTGTACCAAAGACATTGGGTTTAGGGCTCTATTAAAAAATGGAATAAGCTAGAATTTAGTATTTTATATTCATTATTATTTATTTAAAATATTTTCTGATTATTTTACTTGGAATTAAATATTTTTTATCTGGATTCCCCAATTATGGTTTTAAATATGTGTAATAAAAGCTTATATTAATATTTGAGCTTAACTAATATAATTCTGTTGTCCATTGAAATATTTAAATATTTACTAAGAAATATGTGGGAATACCCAAACTAGGCAAACAAATCTGGTTTTTAATTCCCTTTAATTTTACTCTCCAACTTTGATATATATTTCATTTTTGTTTGGGCTCTGTGTTCCATATATTATATGATTATTATAAGTATTACCTATGTTACTATGTTATGGAATGTTATGCAAAGTGCACTCGGAAATCTCTGTAGAACGTGCTCCATCGACCACGTTCTTACTGCCCCCTTCTCTTCTCTGCTTTACTCTCTTCTCTTGCGGCTTCCCCCGTTTCTTCTTCATTTTCTCTCTCTCTCTGTATCCCACTCTGGTTCTCTCTCTATCTCTTACTGGCTCAGCTATTTTTGGTTTTTGCGACAATTTTTTTTTTTTTTTTTGCCAGCCACCACCTGATGTCGATGCCGGCGTCTCCGTTGCCGTCGCTGTCCGCGTCTCAGTTGGCAGTCGGCAGTCGGCAGTCGGCATTAGGCCAGGTCGAGGCGGCAGAGGCAGCAGCTCCTCAGCGGTGGCGACTGAGACAGACTCGGCGGGGAAAAGAGATGCAGCTAGCGGCGATTGTGTGTGTGTGTGTGTGTGTGTGTGTGCTTGTGATTTTTGCTGTTTGTTTGTTGGTTGTTTTTTTGCTTTTGTTTGTTATTTTTTGGTGTTTAATAAAGGCGCGTAATTTGCTTGTTATGTCTTAGAGCCTTTTTCACGAGAAAATATGGATTTTTATTTATAAAATACGTGTTGTAACGGATAATGTTGTAGAAAAATCCAAGAAAATTAAAGAAAATTTAGTAATACTTAAAATAATAATTAAATAATAAGGATATGTTACAAAAGAGGCTAGACTGGAATCACTCATACAAATTAGTATTTTTCCTAAGGTTTCACATGTTTGCCGGTGTTAGATTTATTTTCTTTTACTTTTGTGGAACTTCATACCTCAGAACAGGTGTCAGGTTCAATTCAATAAAAGTGGAAAATAGGAAACATTTAAAGACTTGAAAAGATATACATTTTAATGATTTGAAAGAGAGCAGGGCTCAGATTACAAATGGAATATGGTTACAGCGACAATGAAAGACCGAAATGCCAGATTAAATATAATTTACAATTTTCCAGCCTCTTCTTATTCTTGTTTTTTTCGGCTCCAAAATGATCTTTAAATGATCTATTGGCTGGCATTCCTTGCCTTTTTTTTGTTACTCTATTTATAAATGATCGGCGCGGTATACGTAATATTGCGCATACGCCCCGCAGTTGAAGCCTAATCTAACCTGAGGCGAGAGAGCGCGATGTAACTTGTAACTATTGCAAATGTAAACAAACCGCAAGCTCCAGGAGGGGACAGTGGTGTTGGGAGGGGGGGTGGCACGTCAAACGTCAAAGCAAATTATATAATTTATTTATTTTGTTACCGCGCGGTGCGACGCTCTCTCGCTTTGCGCTCTCCTGCTCTCCATCCCGCTCTCTCGCCGCCTCCTAGGGTTCGTTGTCGTTGTTGTCTGGCAAATAGCTTTTTGCCTTTTTGCTCGCCAATTTTTGCGCTGTTCTCATTTTTCTTCCCCCCTCGAGCACTTGAATTTATTTTTGTTTCTTTTTTTCGGGTCTTGCCTTCTTTTCTTTTTTGCTTTTTCTACGTCGTCGCGTCTGAAATGCAAATAAAGCGAGTGCAAAAAATATCAAAAAAATAAAAATAATAATAAAATGAGCGGAGAAAAGGTTCTTTATATTACCTTTTAATTTTTTGTTACTGCCGCTGTGTGTGTGTCATTTTAGCAATTACGACCCGCCGGGTGATTGACCCACAAGCCCCAGGCTCGCAGGCCGAGATCCAGATCCATATCCAAGCCTACAACTAGCAGTGGCCTGGTGGAATGGCTAGGTGGGGTGGCTGGGTGGTTGTCTGGCTGGGTGGTGTTGCGCCTCTGTGTGTGCTTGTGTCAACCGCAACGCAAACAAAAGGCCTTCGAAAAATGTTGGCAAAGATTTTAGCAGTGCGTGCCATGTCCCCGAAAAGCGAGACAAACAAAAGGGCCACCAAAGCACAGGGGAGACCGAATAAAAAGAAATATAATATAATAATTTATACAAACGAAATTAATCAAAAGTTATATATATTTTTTTATGTTCATTAAATTATAGATTAAGTGCGAAAACAGGTTAACCACTCAAAGGTCAACAACAAAATAGGTTACAACAAATAAAAATGATGTTTTTATTTATATTCATTTATATTTCACAACAAATTAAAATGTTTTTTAGCATTTTTATTATATTTAAAAGAAAAGTAAAGGAAATTTATATAGAACAAAGGCACAAATAAATTATTAAACTAATATTTACTGTAGTACCAGAACCTCCTGGCCTGAAAGTGCGTGTGCACGCTCCCTCCTACGCATTAATGTCCTTGCTTCATGGGGAAATTTCGATACAAATATCAGAGTGCCAGTGTCTGTATCTGTGTCTGTGCTTGAAGAAGGAGGAGCCTTCACCGAACAGGGAAAAGTGGGGTTCACAGTCGCCAAGAAGTTTATCTTCTTATATGTATATATTTGATTTAGACTGCCAAGCAACACTTGAGTTAAATGCGCACAAATAAATATTTATAGTATATGTTATATATTTTATATACACACGAATTGTGGTGGGGAAGTGGGGAGTAGGTGCAAGGCGAGGGAGTAGGAAACTTGCTCAAGAGCCATTTAATATTGTCTGTCAGCCCTAGCTTAAAGTTGAAGAGTTTTAAAATATTTTATAGCTTTTATATAAAAATCCCTAAGGTCCATTGAGACCTTTTAAAACTCAAGCAAATTAACAACAACAAAATCGAGTCAGTCGGCATTGAAGACTTGAACCCGGGTTCAATAATTCCCTTAATTTGCAACCCGCCGAAACCCCGAACCGGGCCCCGGAATCCACCCCGTTGGGTGCTAAATTTTGGGTCGGCTTTAACCGGTTTATATCTATACTATATACTATATGCTATATTGTGTATATACTTCCACAAAGCCAACGAGATAACAAAAAGTTTAAAACAAAAAGAATTTAAAAAGCATTTAGCAGCTGCAGAGAGGAACAAAGCAACAGGTGACAGCACAGATCCGATCGACGACTGGCCGCAGCTAGTGGGAAATAAAAATTCAAATATATAAATTAAAGTATTCATTTAATTAGCAAAAAAACAAACAAACCGCAAACAGCAACAACAGTATTACATTCTGAATCGAGCCATAAAAACGAGACGAGCCAAATAAACGAAATAAACTAGCCGATATTCTAAATACCCTATACTTTTAATATATTTTAAATTAATTTAGGAACACAAATATTACATATTAGTAAATACTATTAGTCTCTATATAAGGTAGGGAAAATTTAATTATTTATTTAATTAAATCTATATCAAGGGTATTATAAGACCGTATATTGTTGAATTTAATTTAAGACGTCTACAAATAGTTTTCAAAACTGATAGTTTATACATTAAAAGTGTTAAAAACAAAGTCAAAACAAAAGAAACCCAACCGACAACCAAATAAAACCTTGAAAAATGTAATTTAAAAGTAATTAAGAATTCTATTTGAAAAATGATTAACATTCGGCTGAATTAACAACAACAAAAATGAAACCTTTACAAAAGGCGCTTAATGTTTTTAGTGGACGTGTGTGAATGGGTTAGAATAATAATAATAAAAAAAAAACAGAAACAAACAACAAATAAGGTTTCTTCATAGCGCTTCTTTTTCTTATTCGTATTTTTCTTCTCTCTCTTCTTTAGCAACAAACAAAAAGAAAAACACTGAACACTTGCTGGAAGCTGAATAAAAAATGGAACAACAATAACAACATTAACAATAGCAGCCAGCAGCAACAACAACCAAACAGAAGTGAAACAAGAAACAGCAACAAAATACCTCCAGCTGTACAAATATTGCTTGATATTGAGAAACAAATATAAAGCATATATATACCAAAATAAAATTAAAATTGAAATAAAAAATAAAAAATAAAACAAAACAAAAACGATGAATGTGAAAATGTAACATTTAACTCAATTATCCGCCTTCCCCGTCCAGAAAATACAAATTAAAACTAAAGCGTGAAAACCTAAGGAAAGATGTTGCCGATTTCCAGCGAAAGTGTGACCAAGTGAACTAAATTATATTCAAAAAAAATAATCAAATAATATAAATCCCATTATTTGTGTTCTAAAGTGAACTAAATTATATTCAAAAAAAATAATCAAATAATATAAATCCCATTATTTGTGTTCTTTTTTTTTTAATTTGTTTCCCCTGCAAACACTCAAATGCAAAAACAAAGTACAAAGAACCACAAAGAAGAAACGCAGCGATAACAAAGTGAAATGCAAACTGCATAAGTTGATAGCAATCGCAACAACAACATCGCAACACAACAAAGTAATACAAAATATATAATTTCCAAATTCAACAAAAAAAGCCGCATCCTCCGCCCCCAGCAGCAGGCAGAGAGAACGAGACGCAAGGCCCCAAGCCCCGAGAGGGGGAGAGAGCAGGCAAACCAAACAAACGGTCCGAGCGGGAGAGTGGGCGTGGGAGAGACCCAGAGCCAAGGGCAAGCTTGCAGAGAGAGAGTGTGCGAGTGGGAGAGTGTGCGAGTAGAGAGAGCGCGAGCGAAAAGCTTCATGCAGAAAAACAAGAAACAGCGCAAAACATGTAAGTGAAATTGATTTTTTCTTTTGCCTTTTGCTCTCGCTCCTTTTATTTGATTGTTATTATTGCTGTTATTGTTATTGCCAACATTAGACGTAAATATTTCATGATTGATTTATGCGGGCCCAGGGAAAGCTAACGGTATCGCCGAGAGAGGTGCCAATGTGATAAACTCATGTCTATTCTAAAAGTTTAATAAATGCTTAAGGGAATTTAACAAATATATTTCTTTTATATATATAATTCTATTATATTAAACAAATTCTGGCTTAATTTGGATTTTAAATGTATAACAAATTTTCGAAATTTTTTAAATTTGCAAAAGTTTTTGAAATGTTTTTTATACGCCTATGTGTTGATAGATTTTTAATATTGTTGAGCTGTATTAAAAATTCCTAGAATTTTCACAATAACATCTCTGAACCCTTTTGCTTAAAATAAAGCAATCTAATCTAATCAAAACTAGGTAATCTCTGGGCAGATTACCACCCAAAGCTGTAAATTTTGACAGCTCACAAAGTAATGCAATCGTGCCTGCATTGTCATAGCTCTTCAATCGGGTGAATAATAATTCTCTATGGTTTTCCAGTAAACCCTAAATAAGTGAGTCGCCATGTTACGATGCAACATTGTAGGATTACAAATAGATAAGTTCGGGAGTTATATAATATGATAAGACCCTATTGAGGGCCTTTGATAACCATTGATAAAGGTAGTACTACTTGTGTTAGGTCTATGTAAAATCGGGTGAAGGTTTTAAAATAGGATTACAAAGTATATTTTAAATAAATTGTATTAATTAATAGTTACAAATATCAATTTTGAAATTGAAATGGCTTTTTTATTGATCAATTATGGCTTTCGATGCTAGACAAATTAATGACTATAATTTATTCCCTCGAATTATTATTTTAATATCATCTTAAATATTTTAGAAAATGTTTTAATGTCTTAAAGCTTAAATATTCTAACAAAAATATTTAATTTATCCCTTTACTTTCGGTGTAGTTTCGCTAACTAGTTTCCAAGTAAATAGGAAATATATATCCATTTTAAACAGCCAGGGATCAGACCAGAAAGTGACCCTAGCCATTAGATATGTACATTCAAAATAATCCCCTCCTGCGCTTTCTGTGTCTAGGTCAGGTAATGGTAATTGGCGGTGGGGCTGAGTGAATACCCAAGTACTGTGGAGATATCACACATTCCCGGCTAGGGAATTAACTGTCAAAGCTTGACCCCAGCAAGCTCGGGTGTCGCCTAATCAGCTCAGCGATATCTACAGACACACATCAGCAGGGTTTTGTTGTGTTTTGCGGTGTTTGTGGGCTGAGAAGCAATCGAGAAGAGCAAACAAGCGACGGTTATGGGCGGGCGGCGGCTTATCAAAAGCAATATTCATGTTGAATATCTGTACGAAGATTATAATTGCCCCGCACACACAGACACACACACACTAGGGCCATATAAATATGGACTCAGACGTGCGTACTCGCACACGATTATATCTAAATTTATATGGCCAAGTTGGGGTCGTTTTTTCGGCGAAAAGTCTTGGGTCTTGGCAACTTTATCGATTTGTGGCCTGAATTTCTAGTTAGAGTTCATTAGACGTTGGAACTAAAGGTGTGTCGTGTGCCACTTTATGGCCAAAAGCCAAAATATTCGGCCCAGAGATAAGCCAGAAAGATTAAAAAAAAACTGAAAAAATCTACTGGCTTACAGGACTTTAGAATAAAAATATATGTAAATTGTCTATTTAAAATATAAAAGAAATTAATTTTAAACTAATGTATATATCAAGAAGTTGGTATAGGGTGGCCACTCACTTGTCGCTCACTTCTTCACTCTCTCTCTCTCTCTCTCTGTCTCTCTTTCTCTGCTCGCTCTGTCACTTTTCCATCGCGTTGCGTATACGCCCCATTGCACCGACAGTCAGCCATGCAGCAACGACGTCAACAACCGCCGCACAGTAGCGCCTTTTCTCATTTTACTTTGCAAAAATCATAACTTTTGAACAAAACAAGATAACTACATAATTTACGCCATTTGACAGGTAATTGTTGTAAAATTTACATATGTACTGGAAAATGTGCCACGCCCACCTACTCGCCTTTTTATAGGGTGTCAAAGTGAAAAAATATTTTTTTTCCAATGAAGGCAATTTTTAAAAAATATTTAAACTTTGTGATTCTCATGCATTTAACACCAACCGACCTTCGTTCAACTCTGCATAACTTTGTCAATTTTCCCATGATCGATGTAAAACTTGGACACAATATTCTTAAGATATTAGGCCTTAAAAATAAAAAATAAAAAAAAATTACGAAAATAAAAATGAAATACCTTACCCCCCCTTAAAGTAAAAATCATGGCGATAGGTAATATAGTTTTTGTGTAATATTACCTGAAAGTCAACCAATTTTCCCTTTTTTTTTTTCTTATGATGCAAAAAGGGAAACAAAGTTCAACTTTGAATGCTCATATCTTCTACAAAAAAAAATCCGAAAATTGATTTTACAGCAGATTCTGAATCCATGGGAAATTTCCTGTCGAATAAGTATGGTTAAAATCGTTTTTGCGACAACGACTTTTTCGATTTTTGCAACGGCTTTTGTTCGAGAGGCGCTACTGTGCGCCGTCTGTATGGCGATTTTGGCCCAGGCAATTGACATGCTCTCTCTGTGTGTGTGTGTGCGTGTGTTTACCTGGCACTCGAAAACAATTACAAAACAAAGTTGGAATGGCGGAAAAAAAGTGCAGCGGCAGCAATAGCAAAATAAACAAATAAAAAAAGAAGAAGAGCAAATATTACAGCAGCTACGTCGATGATAACAACTAGAAACAAATGAAGAAAATAAATAAATAAGCGCTTGAGTTGCATATTACTTACTTGCCCGTCAAGTGCCTTGTCCTCTTCCTTGTTTTTTGCCTTAATCAGATAATTATATTATCTTGAGAGGTCATTTTTTAAGGTGAATTGCTGAATTTACAATTATAGAAAATAATGAAAATTTAATAATTGTCAAGGCTTGGCATTATCAATTAGTATATTATCCCTTTTAATTTGTGAAATGCAAACCAATTTATTTGTTTTCGCATTTAGATTCCAGCGAAAACCCAGTCAAGTGAAATAAATTCGTTTTTAATTAAGACAAGAGAGAAAGCCGAAGGTTGTGTACCCTTCTAGTCTGCTTTTTATAGGGAGATTGAATGGTAAATCAATCATAACTCGGCCGAAAACGCTTTAATTTTGATTTGGAAAATAGTTCGGTGATATTTTTTAAAAGGTTAACAAATCTGATTATCTGATCTGAAACCTTTATTTTTTTCGATTTTTTTTTACCTCCTTAAACAATAAAATTAAACATAAAATACAAAAAATTAAAATTTTTAATTTTCTTGCAAACATGCCTAGATCGATTCTGCTTTTAATGCTGATCAAGAATATATATGATTTATAGGGTCGGAAATGAGTCCTTCACTGATTTTTGGGCTTCGGACTGAAATTATTATACCCCTTACGGTGTATTAAATTTTAAATATTGATTCCTAATTTAATATGATCATTTTTGGGCTTAAAAATTCAATAACTAAGCCAAAAATGCATTAGATTCAATTCAGAAAGCTGATCTGAGTTAGTTTTTTTATGGTTAATAAATCTGCATATAAAGATTACAAATTTAACCAATTTAAAATTTTTCGATTTTTCTTTACCTCCTTAAACAATAAAATTAAACATAAAATTAAAAAAAAAATTAAAATTTTTAATTTTCTTGCAAACATGTCTAGATCGATTCTGCTTTTAATGCTGATCAAGAATATATATGATTTATAGGGTCGGAAATGAGTCCTTCACTGATTTTTGGGCTTCGGACTGAAATTATTATACTCCTTAAGGTGTATTAAATTTTAAATATTTGTTCATAATTTTATATGATCATTTTTGGGCTTAAAAATTCAATAACTAAGCCAAAAAATGCATTAAATTCAATTCAGAAAGCTGTTCTGAGTTAGTTTTTTTATGGTTAATAAATCTGCATATAAAGATTACAAATTTAACCAATTTAAAATTTTTCGATTTTTCTTTACCTCCTTAAACAATAAAATTAAACATAAAATTAAAAAAAAAATTAAAATTTTTAATTTTCTTGCAAACATGTCTAGATCGATTCTGCTTTTAATGCTGATCAAGAATATATATGATTTATAGGGTCGGAAATGAGTCCTTCACTGATTTTTGGGCTTCGGACTGAAATTATTATACTCCTTAAGGTGTATTAAATTTTAAATATTTATTCCTAATTTTATATGATCATTTTTGGGCTTAAAAATTCAATAACTAAGCCAAAAATTCATTAAATTCAATTCAGAAAGCTGTTCTGAGTTAGCTTTTTTATGGTTAATAAATCTGCATATAAAGATTACAAATTTAACCAATTTAAAATTTTTCGATTTTTTTTACCTCCTTAAACAATAAAATTAAACATAAAATACAAAAAATTAAAATTTTTAATTTTCTTGCAAACATGCCTAGATCGATTCTGCTTTTAATGCTGATCAAGAATATATATGATTTATAGGGTCGGAAATGAGTCCTTCACTGATTTTTGGGCTTCGGACTGAAATTATTATACCCCTTACGGTGTATTAAATTTTAAATATTGATTCCTAATTTAATATGATCATTTTTGGGCTTAAAAATTCAATAACTAAGCCAAAAATGCATTAGATTCAATTCAGAAAGCTGATCTGAGTTAGTTTTTTTATGGTTAATAAATCTGCATATAAAGATTACAAATTTAACCAATTTAAAATTTTTCGATTTTTCTTTACCTCCTTAAACAATAAAATTAAACATAAAATTAAAAAAAAAATTAAAATTTTTAATTTTCTTGCAAACATGTCTAGATCGATTCTGCTTTTAATGCTGATCAAGAATATATATGATTTATAGGGTCGGAAATGAGTCCTTCACTGATTTTTGGGCTTCGGACTGAAATTATTATACTCCTTAAGGTGTATTAAATTTTAAATATTTGTTCATAATTTTATATGATCATTTTTGGGCTTAAAAATTCAATAACAAAGCCAAAAAATGCATTAAATTCAATTCAGAAAGCTGTTCTGAGTTAGTTTTTTTATGGTTAATAAATCTGCATATAAAGATTACAAATTTAACCAATTTAAAATTTTTCGATTTTTCTTTACCTCCTTAAACAATAAAATTAAACATAAAATTAAAAAAAAAATTAAAATTTTTAATTTTCTTGCAAACATGTCTAGATCGATTCTGCTTTTAATGCTGATCAAGAATATATATGATTTATAGGGTCGGAAATGAGTCCTTCACTGATTTTTGGGCTTCGGACTGAAATTATTATACTCCTTAAGGTGTATTAAATTTTAAATATTTATTCCTAATTTTATATGATCATTTTTGGGCTTAAAAATTCAATAACTAAGCCAAAAATTCATTAAATTCAATTCAGAAAGCTGTTCTGAGTTAGCTTTTTTATGGTTAATAAATCTACATATAAAGATTACAAATTTAACCAATTTAAAATTTTTCGATTTTTTTTACCTCCTTAAACAATAAAATTAAACATAAAATTTAAAAAAAAATTAAAATTTTTAATTTTCTTGCAAACATGTCTAGATCGATTCTGCTTTTAATGCTGATCAAGAATATATATGATTTATAGGGTCGGAAATGAGTCCTTCCCTGCGTTGCAAGCTTCCGACTGGAATTATAATACCCTGCAAGGACATAAAAATATTATTTTCTGAGGAAATTTCCTGAGAAATTACGAGAAACAACTAAAAATTTAAATACTCAAGGAAACTGTTGAAGACTTCTGATATTCCTAAATTGTTCTTTGGGAAAATCCAGAGAGAATAAATGGGAGCAGCATCACTTGAGGTGGAGAAGCAGGCGGAGGAGGCTGATGATCGGGTTCGAGGGCAAAAAATACGAAATTTATGACCAAAATCAGTCTTCTCCCCCCGTTTGTCATGTGAATCACAAAGGCGGGAAATATATATGACAATGGAAAACCGAGGGGAGTAAATATAGTTTAAAGATCTGCCCTGAATAGACGGCTGTATGTGCGCCATCTGATCTGTGTGTGTGTGTGTGTGTGTGTGTGTGTGTGTGCGTAGTGGTATTATTTATAGGCGGCACTTGGATAAGATTCGCATATAAATAACACACAGAGAGTATCTTTGGCCTGTTCTTTGACTTTTGCTTCTGTCATTCAACCAAACCGAAGCGATCCCCCTGCCACCTCCACCTCCGCCCATGACTCACAATCGTTTATGGCTTTGAGCGTTTTACGAGTTCGATCATAAAAAAAAAACAGCAACAAAAAGCCCAAGAAACACAGAGTTTTTTTTTATTTTTTTACTATTTGATTCCATTCTTTTTTCAGGCTATTTTTAGTTTTAAAACTGAAACAATACTGTTTTGTTTTTGTTTTATATTCATTTAAATTTATAAATTTTCAATATTTTAAATATTACATATGTGTAAATATTTATAAGAAATTCTACTAGGTTCCACAATTTAAGCTCAGCCTTGATTTATTTACGTTATATTTTGGCAAACAAAAATCTCCTCATTTATATTATCTATTTAATCTCCTCGGACGATCACTCTTACTATATCCCCTCTATATATACTCGTTCCAGCTAGAAAACATGGAGGGTGCGAGTCGCAGCAGGAACGCCGCAGCAGCTGCCTCCGCGGGCCACAGCCAGCAAGGAGGACACCCCAGCCAGGACCGCGTTGAGCAGGAACTCAAGCAAGACATTCCCTACTTTGACGAACCGCCGGCGATTAACGCCGGCGATCTGCTCGTGCTCGGCAAGAGCGAGTGCAGCCTGGACGACCTGGCCTGGGATCCCGCTGACATGGATGTGGACCAGGAACAGGATCAGGACCAAGACCAAGACCAAACTCAAGACCAAGACCACGGGCAGGAGGATAACTATCCTGATGAGAACGAGAGCTCTGTGCTCGGCAGCGACTATGCGCCGAGTGGCAGCGGTAGTGCCGCCAATAGCTTCTATCAGTCGCCCACGCCCTCCACCGCCTCGGGCTCTGGCTGTGACCTAATGCTCCGGCCGCCCTCCAGCTCCATGTATCACTTCAACTACCGATCGCCCGCAAGTCCCTTGGCCATGCCAGGCGGCGGCGGCGGCGGCAGCGGAGGAGGAGGAGCTATTGGATCCGCATCCGGACGCCTGCATCCGTATGCACATTCCGCAGCGCACGGCACGCCGCCCAGCTTCTATCCGAATATGTGGTATCCCAATGCGCCCTACGGTGCCTCCGGCTCTGGAGGAGCTGCGGGTAGTGGCGCTGGCGGCGGCAGGTACATGACCTATGGCGGGCCAGGAGGACCAAGTCCTGGTCCCAGTCCCGGTCCAGGCTATCCCAGTCATTCGGCTCACCTGCATCACCACCCGACGCATGCGCTGCATCATCCGTACCAGCAGCCACATCCCCACGGGCATCCGCATCCGCATCCCCATCATCCGAACCACGCCCAGCATCCGCATCACCAGCATCCGCACGAGACCATGATGGAGATGTTCCAGCTTTCGAACAGGTGAGTTTTCCCTTTCGAATTATATTTATTTGTTAAATGAAGAAACTATTTGATGTGGTGAAAAAAAATTTGAAGTTGTTTTTAAAATTAAATAGTATAAAAATGAATTTAATTTAATACCTATAATTTAAATTTTAACAAAAATCTATAAAGATAAGTTTTGGGAAAATTCCCTTGCTGTCCGTCCGCCTCTCGTGGATCTCCCTCAGCACGGAAATGAGAAAACTGTAGCTCTAGGGGGTGCATCCCCCGCGAAATCTAGAACCTCTCGGGCAAACGGCACATGGAATGAATGCCGATCCCGGGTGGATCACCCGTGGTGTTAAATGGAAGCCACATCCATATCCGTGGGTGGCCAATTGCCCGTTATTCAGAGGCTGATGAGATGAAATGCAAAAGGATGAACGCCAGGGCCGGCCTCCCGCTGGTAGTCTGGCCTGATTGAAGATTGCTTACAGCTCCTTTCGCTCCCAATTAGCCTGTCTTCTTGTGGCTCCCAACTAAACCTGATTAGCCAGTTAGTGTGTATTTATATATAAATATACATATATCTGGCTTGGGCTTTTTGTTTGGATTTATTTTTGGTTTTGGACGACGCAAGGCCCTCGACGCGGTTCATTCATTCATTCCATTCAGCGGAATCGCTACCCTGGAGAGCTGCACACGACGGTCGCCCTCACCCACTCCACCTCCCCCCTTCGGAAGCCAATCAGGGCTCTGCCCCCCTTTTCCCCCTTTTGCGGAAAATCAGTAGAAAAGCAGAAGAGCAGCAAAGCAGCTAAGAAGCACTAACAATCTGCTTCCTTATTTACTTGGCCTTTGCCTTTGCCGTTGCTGTACCGTTACAATCGGCCATATATAATCCAATGCGTTTCGATACGTCATTAGCGGCGGTTCCAAGGTCGACCTGCATCCGTTGGGTGGTGGTGGTGGTGGTAGTGGTGGGTGCAGTTATCGATACGCGCGCTCTTTACAATGTAAGCTCCACTGACAGCAGATACAGCAAAAGAGAGAGAGAGAGAGAGAGAGAGGGAGCCTAATGCACTGTGAGAAAAACCAACAGGATAAGGGAAAATACTCAGAAACAAATATCACAATGAAATAGGATTTTAAAGTGTTTAAATGTTGGGTTTGAATGTAAATAAAAACAGTGTCTGGAGTCTTAAACTTCTTTCTAGATCTAAAAAATATCGAAAAATGTTTTGTTTTTACCCATTCATTTAAGAATGCAACAAGTTGAGTGCACAGACACACTCGCAGATAGCAAATACACTTGGAATTGGCTAAAAAACATCGTTAACGGTTTGAGTGGGCCAAAAGCAGCAACAAATATAGTCTCAACAATTGCTTCGACAACAATGTGACATCAAGTGCAAGGGTGCAGTGCACTCGCTTGATTCAATCAAGGGCAACCGAAAAGCAGCAACAAATCACGCGAAACAGTATAGTCAATACCTGAATACTCTGGCTTACATGGTTTTCCCTCCTTTCTTTCTATAAATAAAACATTAATCCCAGTTTGGTTTAGGCATTTATGTGAAGAGTAATCTAAGATATTTCATTCAAGTTCTTAGGCAAATAACTTGGTTGATTTGTTTCCGGGAATTTGTATTTCAGTAAATGGCCATAAAACTTTGGTTTGGCAATTTTTAAATGTTTGCCTTTATGTGTTCCCTATTGCCCTGGCTATTTTTAAACATTTTTAAATGCATTAATACTGAGAAATGCAGCCGAGATTGTATTACAACGTAAAATACTACAAAATGCACTGGTACCTTCAATTCTTTTAAATGTTTTTTTTTTTTCATTTTTTATTGACTCTGGTTAGTTTATTATTTAACATTTTGATCTATGTTTTGTGCATTGTTGACAAATTTTTAGTTTAGTCCAGCAAAACTTTCCATTTGGCTTGGAATCCTTGACCACAAAGCCCACAATGTTTGCCGAACTTCCCAGGAATAATTTTCCGAAAGCGCGCACACTCCACCTATTGTACACTTGGGGAAAATTCATATAAATTTGCTGACTATTTAAGAATATGAAAATCGATGAGGCCAGGATTGAAAAAAATGCAGAAGCAGACGTAACTATGTAACCAGTTTAAATGTTTTTTTTTACATTTTTTAATCAGTTAAAAAGCTTGATCTTAATTTTTAAAAATATACTTTAAACACTACAATTTTTTTCTCCAACAATTAAATTACACTTTTTTTAATTTAATTTACAAAGTAATTTTTCCCATGTGCCCCTCCCTTGGTGCCTGCATTTGTTTACTCGAACTGTTGCGCACTTTCCTTGCTTTTTCCCCCCCGTTTTGTTTTTCCTATTTTCTTCAGTTTTTTTGCTGTTTACATTGCCGTTGCCATTGCAATTGCAATTGCTTCTGCACTTCGTTTCGCACTTGCCTACGGTGGTGTGTGTGTGTATTTTGCGAACTTGTTTTGCAATTGCGTTTTAAAATATATTACATCAGTGGCAAGGGTTGAGAGCCGACAGGAGGGGGAGGGGGAGGGGGAGCGTTCTATGTATGTGCGAAAACAACAATGTGGCAGCAGTGTTAGCCTTTGCTAATCGAACGCAGCAGCGATCTCGCATTTCCGTATAAATTACTCATTGAAGAGCTCGTATCTCTACTGTTGGTTGAATATTATTAAACAAATATTAGATCTAAATAAAATAGAAATATATTGAAATTAAACAATATTTTTTAGATATATATATATATATGAATATATATAAATATATATGTATATGTCTGGACTGACCTTATGCAATTAATGCTGGAGCAGCGCCTAAGAAAGACGTGATCATTGCACTTGAATCGCACCATCCATCCATCTATTGCCACCCCTCTCCGCCTCCTGGACAAAAACTGATAATTATTGACAGTACTCAGACTTTTTTGTTGTCATAGTCTAGCCGACCGGGTGCACTATGCAATACTTACGGGGCTGCATAACAGCGCCAACAAATGCCAAGTCATGTATATAGGTTTTTGCATTCGTACTCCTACATATATGGTTACGGAAAATGGACAACGGACGCTCCGGACAGACTACAAAGTCGTGAGCAGATAGCCGGGATTGTTCCAGAAAATCCCCTTATGTAACGGGGGTGATTACAATGCGGAAGTAATTGCAATATCAAGTAGAAATTCTTTAGATATATAGATAATATATATTGCGGCGCCTACGAATTAATTCGAGGTTTACGGAGGATCTTTTCTTGAGACCTTTTTGTCTGATATGTCTGATATTTATTTCCCACCCTGTGCTAATCAATTCCCAGCAACTTGGTTGTATTTTCTCTTCTAAACAACAATTAACATACGGCATATAAAAAAGCGATTGGCTAATCTCAGCCTGCAGCTGGGGCCTCGTCACCTTTTCCTACCTCAATCAGCAACCGCTTGTCGTATATCCGAAAAGTGTACAAATACTAACCATACCTGGACGGTGTGCCTTGCACAATATATAAACCTCTATTAACGTAATTAATCAGATATTTTAAAAGGGAGAATCGGAAGATATACAAAGCTAACGATTTGCCTAAAAATATAGGCTTTACTTCTGTACACTAATATTTTGTATATATTATTTTAAATATATTTTTATATTTTTTGTATATATTTTTATATTGTTTTTATATTTTTGTATATATTTTATATGTATATATTTTATATATTTTACATTTTTATATAATTTATATATTTTTATATTTTTAAATATTTGTTATATTTTTTAATATATTTTTCATATTTTTTTATATATTTGTTTATACATATATATGTTTTTATATATATTTTTTTTATACATATGTGTTTTATATATCTATTTTGTAATATATTTTTAATATTTTTATTTTTATTTGTTATATTTTTTTTAATTTTAAAATATTTTTTTTTACCTTTTTCTAGCATCAAAGATACTAACGATTCACCTAAAATTGTACCCATTTCTTGTATACATTTTTTTGATTATTTATTATTTTATTAAACTATTTTTAACCCTTTTCCAGCGGTCGCGAGGCCCGCAATCGAGCGGAGAAAAATCGCCGGGATAAACTCAATGGATCCATCCAGGAGCTCTCCACAATGGTGCCCCATGTGGCGGAATCGCCGCGACGAGTGGACAAAACAGCAGTTCTGCGTTTTGCTGCCCATGGATTAAGATTAAAGCATGGTAAGATTAAGTTTCAACTTTTGTATTAATTAAATATTATATACAAATTATTTAAAATCTTAAAATTAACGAAACATTCGTGTCCAGTTTTTGGCAAATCCCTACTCCACCAGCGACCCCAGGTCACCGACACACTGATGGGAATGCTGGACAGCTTCTTTCTGGCTCTCACCTGCCATGGCCACATCCTGCTGATCTCGTCCAGCATCGAACAGCATCTGGGCCACTGCCAGACGGATCTGTATGGCCAGAGCATCATGCAGATCACCCATCCCGAGGACCAGAGCATGCTCAAACAGCAGCTCATACCCACCGAGCTGGAGAACCTCTTTGATGCCCACGGCGACTCGGATGCGGAGGGTGAGCCCCGCCAGCGTAGCAAGTCCGAGGAGGACTACATCGATCGGAAGTTGCGCGAGGACAGGCGTAGCTTTCGTGTGAGGTAATTGGACATTAATAATCATATATTTATATATTGATATATTCCTCGATAATCAGGTTAGCCCGTGCTGGACCCCGTTCAGAGCCCACCGCATACGAGGTGGTGAAAATCGATGGCTGCTTTCGACGCAGCGACGAGGCTCCCCGTGGCGTACGCTCCAATACGTTGAGCTCCAGCTTACAGCTGATCCGAAGGACTCGCGGTCGTGACGATGTCATTCCCTTGCACACGATCAGCGGCAATGATATTGTAAGTATATCGGAAATATCTTTTATACATATATATATAAGATATATGTAACATAATCCTCTCCAGATTTTAACAGCCTGCGCCCGGATCATCCGTCCGCCGAAGATCGCCAATCGTCTGATCGATGCCAACACCCTGGAGTACAAGACGCGCCATTTGATAGACGGCAGGATCATTGACTGCGATCAAAGGATCGGCATTGTGGCTGGCTATATGACAGACGAGGTGCGCAATCTCAGTCCGTTCACCTTCATGCACAACGACGACGTGCGCTGGGTGATCGTGGCCCTGCGGCAAAGTGAGTTTTCAACTATATTATATTACTATTTTGATATGTTTTAATATTTAAAAATAGTTCAAATATAATTTAATACATTTGCTCTGCTAATTAATAATCTGCCATCAATCTTACAGTGTACGACTGCAACAGCTCGTATGGCGAGTCCACCTATCGCCTCTTCACCCGGAACGGCAACATCATATACCTGCAGTCCAAGGGCTACCTGGAGATCGACAAGGAAACCAACAAGGTGCACTCATTCGTCTGCGTCAACACCTTGCTGGACGAGGAGGAGGGCAAGCGACGAGTGCAGGAGATGAAGAAGAAATTCTCGGTGATCATCAATACGCAGATACCGCAGTCAACCGTCGATGTGCCGGCCTCCGAGCATCCGGCTCTGCTTGAGAAGGCGGTGCTGCGACTCATTCAGAACCTGCAAAAGTCCGGGGAGGATGGGGCCCAGGGCCTGGAGGGCGATGAGGACGAGGATGTGGAGGAGGAAGACGATGACGAGGAGGATGACGAAGATGCCGATGATGGGGCACGCAGCATGTCCGAGTTTGGGGATCCATACAGTCAACACCAGCAGCACCACCACCATCACCACCACCATCAGCAGCAGCAGCAGCAGCAGCTCCACCATGGGCGTTCACAGCACGGAAGCTCATCGGCTGCTCTGGGCAGCTCCAAGACCCCGCCCCTGGCCCTGGTGCCCCCCGAAGCCTCCTCCGTCAAGTCCTCGATATCGAAGAGCATCAGCGTGGTGAACGTGACGGCGGCGAAACATTTACGCGGCATCCACAGCTCGGCGGCAAAGTCGCCCACTGCCTCCCTGTCGTCCAGTTGCACCTGCAGCGAATCCCGTTCGGCCTGCGACTTTTGTCAGGCTCCACTCACGCCCGATCCCCTGCCCATAGGTTCCAGCTTGAAAAGGAGCACCACGACGACCCTGGCGGAGGGCGTAGAGAAGCCCTCGGCCAAGCGGCGCTTCATGCCCAGCACGGGTGAGGAAATGGGGGAACAGGTTTTGCAGAAATCCTTGATGCTAATCCTTTTTATCCTGCAGAAATCGAGCATGTCCTGCACACATCCCTGGATCAGATAGGAAGGACGCTGACGCAGCAGCTCAATGTGGCCAGGAACCTGAGGGAGCAGGGCCAACGTTACGAGTTGCCGCATGCCGACCAGCGCTTTGACGAGATCATGGTGAGCCATCCTTGAGCCTTGAGCCTTGAGCCTTGAGTCCCTGAATCTCTAACTGGAATCCTTCCCCTTGCAGCAGGAACACCAGAAGCAAAGCGAACTGTATGTGAACATCAAGAGCGAGTACGAGGTGCAGTTGCAGAGCAAGGCAGGCGGCGCCCGCAAGTCACCGGAAACGGAAACGCCACAGGATCGGGAACAGGACTAGACAGGATACTGAGAGAAGGAGAGCGAGACCAGCTCGCGACTGAAGAAGGGTTTCATCGATGTGATAACTACAACTGTCCTTGCAGCCAGCTCAAGCTCCAAAAGCGCAATGTCCCAAAAGAAAATAATTCTTATATATAATATATATCTAGAGCTGCAGGAGAGATACAATTATAATTACCTACAATCCCAACCTATGAGTGAGCCTGAGACAAACATACTTTACATGGAGTTGACCCACACACACGCACAACCACAGCCCCAAACACAGACGACACAAAGCTGTTTGTTCAGTTTGTTTAGTTTGTTGTTCTTTTAAACATAATGTACCACGTACATTAGGAGTAAGGAGTAAGGAGTAAGGAGTAACAAGTAACGAGTAACAAGAAGGGAGTAACGACTAACAGAAACAGTTAACTAGTAGCGAGTTACTAGTACCTATTAAGTAGTAACTAGTGACGAGTGCGAGGTGAAACTGTTGCCGTTTCCGATAAGGCGATTTTGCAATTTTGTTTTTAATTTTAATTCGAAATTCTCAAAAATATTTCAATTAATATTTTAAAAAATATTTAAAATATTTGAGTTCCTTTGATATATAAATTTACTCAATGTGTGTGTTGGGTTTTTTTTTTTGTATTGTTAATGAAATCTCTAAAGATTTCTCATCTTTAAATTCAATTTCAAAATATACATATATATATATTTTTTTAATTTGTAAAATTCAACAATTTGCAATTTCAGCGAAATCGAAACGACGGACGAAGATTAGCATAAATGGGAGGATATACAAACAATTATTAGGCTAAATCGGAATATACATTAAACAATATATATAATAAATATATATATATATGTACCTATGTACCATACGTTGTGCGTGGTTAGCGCATGGCCCAAACTAAACGTGATAAAAGACTGTTACCAACTACATACACACATACTATATACATATAAACACACGCATAAATCTAAACTAAACTAAACTATAAAGAAAACGATGAAAAAACAACGTAAACTTAATTTGGAATAATGAAAATATTCATTAAATAGTTAAATTAAATTTACTGTACACACACACACACACACACACACCTTTTTATAGATGTTTAATGTTGTTAATAGCCGGAAATATCAGCGACAGCAACAACAAAAACTACAACAACAGCCAAGTACAATTTACACAGATATATGCTATAAATACTAAATGTATCTGAATCGGTGTAAAGCAAAAATTTAAGAAAATCTAAACCACACATACACATAAAACAAAAATCAGCAGAAATGAAAAGCTAAGGCATGAAAAAAATAAGAGAACTCTGTTAAATGTTTGTTATGCATTTGTTTTTTTTTATCTAAATTAATATTAAACTAATGTATTAGTGAATAAACTTGTGTACCTACATACAAAACCATGGATAAGGATGGATTGTGAGTTGCTTTATTAATTGTTACGGGAATTTTAGAAAGGGGATGTTTTGTTTTTTAATTTGTAAGCTGACTTAAAAAATAATAAGCTCTGAAATCTAAGATTCTTTGAAATCACTAATTAACACCAGTTTCCTTTTTCTATATTTTATCTTTTCCTTTATATATATATAAGTATATTCCCTTTAAAAATAATAAAACCGATTAATAAAATGAAAACCTAAATTATAAAAAATATAAAATTTACATTTTTGAAAGTATTTGAATTATTTTAATAGACTGCCAATTTATTATTATTTTTTATATATTATATAGTCGTCTGATTTTCATAAAATTTAAATTTAAAAATAAAATTTAAAATAATATAAAATATCTATATCTGAGAGTAGATAAAAATATGTTTAAATACAGCAAAGTTATTATTTTTTCTCATTTTATTTTTCTTATTTATTTATTTTTTTTTTAATTAAATTTAAAATTAATATTTAAAAACTGTAAAATTTTAAAAAGACCCTCGTGTTCCTTTTCATTTGTCAAATTTATTTATTGTTGAGACAATTAATTATTTAATATATAATTCCTATATAAAAACTACGGTATATTTTGCAAGATTTAAATATTTTCCTAATTTTTGTGAAAATATCGATATGCGTCCCCAATCATTGGGTATGGTATTTTAAATACTGGTCGGACCAATCGATATTTGAAAATCGATGACAGAATGGACTTTATCATCGATGGCTTTGGCAGTCCTGGTCACACTGCTCGGATTGTGACGTTCGCGTGGCTGTGCTGCTTTTCAAGGCGAAAGAAGCGAAATAGCAGAGAAGGCAGAACGCAAGTAGCAAACAGGAGAGAATTGAAGAGCCTTCCACTTTCCACACACTGGCAGACAGCAACCACACACTGCCCGGAAAAACTGTCGTATAGTGCGCATCCCCAACGTTCGGGTCGGTCGGAACGAAATTAAACGGGCTCCGAAAGTGCGGAGCAAAGGGAAATACGAACAAAAAAAAAGAAAAACGCCGAGCAGCAATTGTGCAAAATGAGCGGAGATGTGGCTGCCGAAAATGTAAGTTGCCGAGAAAATTCCTTCCTTCCCTTTTCGCCCCGCGGCAGGCGGGCAGGCCTCTGCATTTTATGTAATTAAGCGAAAAGGCAAGTGCAAACGTGTTGAACAGTCGCCTGCCTGCGCCTTCCTGCCTGCCGCAAAGTAGTAAAACGTAAAATTGAAGCAAAAATTGGCCAGAAAAGACAATACAAAAGAAATAACCCAGTTGCAAGTGGTGCTACGCAGTCGGCGTCTCTGCCCGCAGTGCGTACGGCACGGACAAATTGCGGGCAGAGCCACAGGCATAGCAAAGCAAAAGCAGCAAAAAGGCCTTTTGGTAATTGACGAAAATGGCGACAATGCAAGTGGCAAGTGCGGATGCGGGACGGGAGGTGGCTGCTAGTGGGCGGGGGGAAGGAGAAAAGCCGAACAGACGAAACGAAATGTATTTGGCACAGTGTGACCGCTCGCAATATACCAACTTGGTATTTTTTGGTAGTTGCCTTTTGGTTCTTTCCTTTTTTCGTCTTTGATCACTGAACCCTTTTTGTTGGCAGCTGAAACTCCCAATTAACCAATATTTGCATGGTTTACTTTTAACTCTGCTGTAGTCATTAAAAACGCTTTGCTTGAGGCTCGCCTCAACAAATATGTTTTTTTTCTTGGCCGTAGAGTGGTCACACTTGGCCTCCTTGGTTGGCGGCAGCAACAACAAAATAAATTCAAAATCACATGTGTTTGTTGTTGTTGTATCTCATTATTCTCTTTCGTATGTAATTGCAAGTGTCCCATTTTGCAATTACAAATCCCCTGTACATACAAATGTATGTTCATCTTGATATTTCTGATAAGCCAGCCTTGTGTCCCCAGTAACAACAATAACGCACACACCCGGAGTGTGCAAGTGTGTGTGCCCACGTTGAAAAAATAAAATAAAATAAAAGTCTAGAATTATAAGCTGTAAAACGCAGTCAATTTTCTGTATTCTCCGCGTAGCGGTGTGTGTGTTTGCAAGGTGGTGTGTGCGTGTGCTATTGTTTGGCATCTGTTTCTTAACCTATTCCAACCGATAGCCCGATTTCGATTCCCATTTCCCATTCGGAAGCAGGAATCGTGGGTCGCCATCGCTCTCAGCTCTGCTTCTTCCAACATCTTGAATGTTTTTGTTGTTTCCCATGAATTTTCCTACGCGGCATTTGTTAGGGTTGATTTTTCACCACGTGGTGAGCGCACACACACACACACGCACGCCGCACGACTTTTAATCGGAATCAAAAGTGAGGAAAAAAGTAATAAGTAATAAGTTTAATAAAAGTAAAAAGCTCGCAAGACGGGGAAGCAGCAGCAGCTGGAAAGACATGACGAATGCACAGGTTTCTAGCACGATTTTACTCTTACTTTCCTCATGTCCCACTCTTGTCTGCATCTCCTCATTTTTCTCTATATCTTTCTCTCTCTTTTGTAGAACATCCACGCACAAAATGGTGGCAGCTGCGAGCTGGTGCAGTCCAACGGGGTGACCACCAATGGACACCACCACCAGTCCCAGAACCACCACCACCACAGCAGCAGCGGCGGCGGCGGAGGAAGTAGCAGTGGGAGCAGCAAGCATAAATCCTCCAGCAAGGACAAGCATCGTGATAAAGACAGGGAGCACAAGAGCTCCAGCTCGTCCAAGGATCACAAGAGCAGCAGTCGGTATGTGGGAAGGGTTAAGATAAAGGAGAACAATGGGGGAATTGGGAGATAAGTGGGGAATCTTCTGGAAAAGACATAACGTAGAATGCCAAGAAAAGATGTAATATCTTGTAGGCAGAAGGATCTTCATGTAGTCTATCTAGGGAATAAGTAAAGGGATCTTCATAGATACAAAATCTCATTGGGAAAAGTAATTTATATTAGTTTAAAAATTAATAATAGTAGCTTTACAAAGCATATAAAATAGCAATCCCTGCTCAACTTAATTCAATTATCTATGCAAACAACATAGTTATGATCACTTGACCTCCTTTTCACCCGTGAGAACGAACAATAGCCCGCAGAGCTACGCTATGAACACAGAATAGCTATGTTGGAGCAGCGTTAGGCTAACATACTTCCGAGAAATTTGTAATAATAACAACTGTCATCCCTTTTCCAGCGATAAGGATCGTCACAAGAGTAGCAGCAGCAGTAGCAACTCCTCGTCAAAGCATCGGGACAAGGATAAGGATCGCGACAGCAGCAGCAGCAACTCACACCGCAGCAGCTCCTCATCAAGTCATCGGGACAAGGATGGAAGCAGCAGCAGCAGTAAACACAAGTCCTCCTCATCATCGTCGTCCTCATTCGGCCACCACAAGAGCTCATCCAAGGATAAGGAGCGACGTGATAAGGACAGGGATCGCAGCAGCAGCAGCAGCTCGTCCAGCCGCCACAAGTCCTCATCGTCGTCGTCTAGCTCCCGTGATAAGGAGCGCAGTAGCAGTAGCAGTCACAAGAGCTCCTCCTCGTCGTCGTCATCATCGAAGAGCAAACATTCCAGTTCGCGTCACAGCAGCTCTTCCTCCTCGAAGGAACCGCTATCCTACGATGGAGTGTTTGTCAAGCCCGAGCCCGTTTCCCAGCCGCAAACACACGAGGGCGCCATGGATCCCTTCCACATGCATCAGCAGCAGCTCGGCGGCTACGATGCCTCCTCCACCCATGCCAATGTCAACTGCAATGGCAATGGGAATGGGGATGCCAGCGAGGGCAACAGCTACAAGAATGGCTACGAGGAATCGATTGTGGAAATTAAGAAGGAGGACACTAGCTTGAACAATCTTTCGCAGGCCAGCTCCTGCGACTACTCCATGTCCCAGTTTCGGCCCGATGAGCCGCCGTTTGAGGTTAAGCATGAGTCGACCTATGTGGAGGACGATAGCATCATGAACGACAACGATCAGGATCAGGATGAGGACGCGGATATGGACGATGAGGAGGATGTGCCCTTGTCCATGCGTAAGCGCAAGCAGGAGGTTCTCGAGCCAGCCAATGGCGGCGGTCAGGATGACGACGACGACATTCCGCTGCTGGCGCGCAAAAAGATCAAAAAGGAGGCCAAGGAGAAGAGCAAGAAGAAGCGTGTCAAGGAGGAGGCCGACGACGACTATGGCAGTGCCAAGCCCAAAAAGAAGAAAATCAAGAAGGTAGAGGCTTAGTTTGATTTGAGCATTTAGTTTGCGTGATGATTATCCTTGAATTGTATTTCGTTTTCCTTGTGCAGGAGTCTGGAGGAGGAAGTCAGATCAAGACGGAGAATGTTTCGCCCACCAAACGCTCAAAGATCAAGGAAGAGGAGGAGGAGGTGTGGAGATGGTAAGTGAAGTTATATGCTAAAAGAAAAATCGTTTTCTGTTACTAAAATTCAATTTCAAGGCTGGTTTTAAATTGAAATGAAGTTTTAAGAATTTTAAGAGGTTTTTTTAAAGTAGTTTTTGTTAAGAAATAAATCCCAGGAAACTACCACTATTAGAAGCTATTATTCATTTATTTTTTTTATTTATATAAAGCTAACATTTGGTACTAAACTAATTGTTAACTTATATTTATTTTTTTATATTTTGATCAATTTCAAATATTTCTCAGCGTACTTTTGGGGAACTTGAAAATATTTATATAAATATTTATTGCAAGTCTGCATACCACTTTTTCGTATCCTAGTTTTTATAGATCCTGAGATCTTAGGATATATCATTAATACTGGAAACCTTGTTTTATTTTCTGGAAATTTCAATACAATTTGGATCTGTTTCTCTTATGCATATTTATTATAAAATCAATGACTTTGTTTAGCTGCCGATAAGGAACAAACAAGCTTCATTTTATTGTTATTACATTTGAGTGAATATTTTTGTTGTATATTTTTATGTTTTATTGTTTTGCAAAGGTTACTTGAGGTGAAAGGCTTTTGATTAATCGTTAAAAAACTAAAACATGCTTTTGGAAAGGGGAAAAATGTGGTTATATAAATTCATTTAATTTTATAAATATATAGCGCTTGCAACAGTAACAACAACAAGCACACTGGCTGCTGCCCACGCAACTGAAAATGACGTGTGCACACGTGTAGTGTGTGTGCGTGTGCGTGTGCGAATGCCATGTGTTTGCTTGTGAAGTTTGAATGTCACTGACCTACATTTTGAAAGTCACACAGAGACAGACAGGCAGACTGTGAGTACCAACAGTTATGCGCCGCTTCTCGCCCACTGCGGCGCATATGGGGAAAATACAGCTTTGGGGCCCACTGTGCTAAGAGACATTCACCACGAAACGACCCCCAACCAGAAACAGCTGAGTGGGGAGCAAGCTAACCGGAAAAACACACACACACACTGACATAAGCTGACTTTGGGGTTAGGTTTGAACGCCACCGCTGCCGCCGCCGCTTCTGCTGCTTTTTTGCGTAATGTGATAAAAAAAAAAATAAAGAGACAGAAAAGGAAGCTGTAAATAAAAGGAAAACAAATGCGCTGGCTGGCGGCGGCAGTGTTTCCATTGGGAAATCGAAGGCTTTGCTTGGTTTTCAGGCAGCAACTAACCACCGTTATAACGAACCGGAAGATAAAACGAAGAAAGAGCGGCGTTTTTACAGACGAAGAGCAGCAAAGTCGATGGTTAGGAGCTAGGTCTAGGGTGATCCCACAAGTTAGGGTGGCCTTTAGCAGATGGCAAAAATAATAACTAACAAATATGGGTTTAAAGGGGAACTTGTCTAAAAAAATAGTATACACATATTTAAAAAAAAATTATTATGAATAATATAATAAGGTTTAATATTAAATTTAAACAGTTCCCTGCCATTCATCCACTCCAAGCACACACTAATTAATTTTCCATTTACCTTTTCCAGGTGGGAGGAAGAGAAGCGCGAGGATGGCGTGAAATGGTCAACGTTGGAGCACAAGGGACCCGTGTTTGCCCCACCGTACGAGCGTGTGCCGCGCAATGTGCGTTTCTTCTACGACGGCAAGCCCCTGGACCTTACGGAGGAAACGGAAGAGGCGGCCACCTTCTATGCTAAGATGTTGAATCATGACTACTGCACCAAGGATGTGTTCAACAACAACTTCTTCAAGGACTTCCGCAAGACGATGACGTCTAAGGAGAAGGAGATCATCAAGGATTTCCGCAAATGCAACTTCCAGGAGATGTTCGAGTTCTTCCAGGCGGAATCGGAGAAGCGAAAGGCGGCCACCAAGGAGGAGAAGCTGGTGAAAAAGAACGAGAACGAGGCCCTGATCAAGGAGTACGGCTTCTGTATGATTGATGGCCACAAGGAAAAGATTGGTAACTTCCGTCTGGAGCCGCCGGGCCTCTTCCGTGGTCGCGGAGAACATCCCAAAATGGGCATGATCAAGCGACGCATTCAGGCCAGCGATGTGTCCATCAATTGTGGCAAGGACTCTAAGGTGCCGCCGCCGCCGTCAGGATCGCGATGGAAGGAAGTGCGCCACGACAACACGGTCACCTGGCTGGCATCCTGGATCGAGAATGTGCAGGGCCAGGTCAAGTACATTATGCTGAATCCCTCGTCGAAGCTGAAGGGCGAAAAGGATCACATCAAGTACGAGACGGCGCGTCGCCTGGACAAGGTAATCGATAAGATCCGTGCCACCTATCGTGACGAGTGGAAGTCCAAGGAAATGCGTGTCCGACAGCGGGCGGTGGCCCTGTATTTCATCGACAAACTAGCCCTCAGGGCGGGCAACGAAAAGGATGAGGATCAGGCCGACACCGTCGGCTGTTGTTCACTGCGCGTGGAGCACGTGCAGCTGCACAAGGAGCTGAACGGCAAGGAGAACGTGGTGGTGTTCGACTTCCCCGGTAAGGATTCCATACGTTACTACAACGAGGTCGAGGTGGAGAAGCGCGTCTTCAAGAACCTCGAGCTGTTTATGGAGCACAAGAAGGAAGGCGACGATCTCTTCGATCGCCTCAATACCCAGGTGCTCAACGAGCATCTCAAGGAGCTGATGGAAGGTATGTTAACCTCTCGGTTGAAACCCCCTGCAATGCTGATACTGTGTCATTTTTAGGACTCACGGCCAAGGTGTTCCGTACGTACAACGCCTCCAAAACGCTGCAAAGTCAGCTGGATCTGCTCACCGATCCGAGTGCGACGGTGCCGGAGAAGCTGTTGGCCTACAATCGGGCCAATCGTGCCGTGGCCATCCTCTGTAACCATCAGCGCTCCGTGCCCAAGGGCCATCAGAAGTCCATGGAGAACCTGAAGGAGAAGATCAAGGCTAAGCGCGATGCCATCGATGATTGCGAGGCTGAGTATCATGTGAGTAAAGCGCCTCGATTTGGCTTCCTGAATTTTCCAAAACTAAAACATTACCACTACCTCTGCAGGACTTGAAAAAGGCAGCCAAGCGCGGCTCCATGAAGGAGAAGATTAACTCGGACAAGAAGGGCAAGCAGCTGGAGCGCCTAAAGGAGCAGCTTAAGAAACTGGAATTACAAGAGACTGATAGAGACGAGAATAAGACCATTGCCCTGGGCACATCTAAGCTAAATTATCTCGATCCACGCATATCGGTGGCATGGTGAGTCTTGGATGGTATACATCCCATAACCAACCCCCGGTCACCGTTCATTCTACTTGCAGGTGTAAAAAGAACGGCGTGCCCATCGAGAAGATCTTCAACAAAACGCAAAGAACCAAATTTCTGTGGGCCGTTCACATGGCCGATGAGAATTATCGTTTCTAAACGCACCAACGACACACACATACACATCGAAATCGAAGCAAAGGCAGCGCAACACACAAGCAAAAGCAGCAGCAGTGCAGCAGTGGCCACAGCTCCCTCAGTTCCCATTTCCCCAAAACAGTTTATGCAATTGGTAATGCATATGGCCAGCTATTTGGGCGGAGAGAAGACTGGAGGAGCCCCGGAAGAGCCTGATTCAGAGAGGGATAGCTAGAGAGCTGCTTGCAATGTATTTCTTTCGTTAAAGTCTAACTAAGCGAAATGTGCACCACCCATTACACTCGCATACACTCAGACACACAGAAAGACACCAGGATATATGCTATGTATGTGAAGGATCAGCTTGATGTATATGCATATGTGTGCGCATGTACTGTATGTTAAATAAAAAGCCAAGCCAAGAGAAGGGGGAGAAAGAACATAAAAAAAGAAAACATAATTCTATAGAAGTTACCTTTATATAATATTTTTTTTTATATAAATATTATGTTAATTTTAAATGATAATAAGGCACAACAAAAAAGGGTAATGAAACACGAAAAACCCAAGACGCAAGCAAGATGATTTTTTGTATGTTTTAACTATAGTTGATTTTTATTTAGCAAAGATGTCTTTCAATATTAATTAATATACAATTTATTATGATTACGTATGTATTTAAATGCTAAACGGAGAACGGAGCGGAGGTCAGAGAAGGCAGGATAGCATAGCATAATTTATTCAACTCTGAGCCGCCGTTTATCACCCCAAAGGAGGGATAAAGAAACGTAAAATTAAATCAAGAACACAAAACAAGGCATTAATTAATTATAAAAGTGGTTTTCGTTGTATGTACCTTCGTGAGTTTAGTAACGACTTTTCAAATAAACAAATTCTAAATTCATATAAATTTGCAAAGCCCTTTCAATATTTTATAAGCTATATAGACAGGTTTCAAATTCTGTTCAAGCCACAACAACAACCAATTGCAAATCAATCAATGAACCAAAACCACAGAAAATGAAACGTAAAAAATGCTTTAGCATCTGATTAGTATGTGCAATTAAGTGAGCCTAAAATAAAGCAAAAACTAAACATAAAAACAAAAGAGAACCCTGTAAAAATCAAAGATCGAGAATCCCCTCTCCAAACTGGAGGAGAGTGGAGAGAAAAGGAGCCTCGTAGTGGAGACTCTATAATTTACAAAATTTGTTCAAGCCCATCGTTTATGATTTATAAAATATGATAATGATAATGTCTGTATGTAGCTGTATTTTTAATTAAATAATTCAAAACAAATGATCAAGATGGAAGCCCCCCCACACCCCTAGCATAAATTGCGAGATAAAGAATATTGAATTATAAATAGAGAGAGGAGACATATACACATATGATAATTAGTAATTAAATCAACACACACACACACACACACATTTATATACGTATAAATGTATGCTTTCAAAAGGCAATAAAAACGATACAAGAACGGAACGTTAGGTAAACATCAATCCTTGTGTCACACTCACTTATAAAACTTGACATATTAAAACAACAAGAATATCGATATAAGCAAATAAAACAAAAAAACATGAAAAAACAACATATTTTAAAGAAACGAAAACAAAACATAAACATATATTAAAAAAAAAAACAAAAAAAAACAATTAAGCCTAAGTTATTGTAATTGTAATGGAATGATGCAAATATACATACGACAACATATATTTAATTTTAATATTAATATTGTTTTCTCTTGGGGCATTTTGAAAAAAAAAATATTTTTTTTATATTTAAATATTAGCCAAATTTAAAAAAAAAACTACGAAAAATAAGTAATATGATTATTTTTGGGAAATCGAAATTAGAAAAAGTTTATAACTAAGCCAAAAACGCTTTAATTTTAATTCGAAAAGCTTTTCTGTGCTAGTTTTTGTTAGTTTTACAAAGCAGCATGTCGAATTTAAAATTTGGAAAAATTAAAATTAAATTTTCAATTTTCATAAAAAAAAAAAATTAAAAACATTACCTTTTAATGTATAATAGAAATTATTTTGTGATATAAATCTAATTATAATTCGTGTAATTTAATGCCAATAAGTTTATATTTTAGAATGATGGAATTTCTGTTTACTCAATTATTCCATTATTTTTATTTCGTTTATTATACAATTTCACATATTATATTATTAATTTGTTGCAATCTCCTATAGACTACCCTAACTTAAAGGGTTTACGTCCACCCTAAAAACAACGCCGCTCATTCTTCCTTCTCTTCTCTTCCCTTCTTTTCTCATCTCTTCTTTTCTCTTTGTGGCTTCTGCTCCGGTTATCGATCGCACTATCGATTCTTAGAAATCGAAAAGCGGAGTGGTCACACTGCACCGAAATTTGACTTTTGCGCTAACGGAAGCGAAGCGAAGCGAATTACAGGATAATAAGTAAAACTTGACAATAAAAGGAAATGCTGGCCACGACACAACGACCGCAGTTGACCAAAATGCGAACTAGCGCGGAGGCGATGGCCTGCATGGCCCGGGAAAAGGCGCCTGGACAGGTAATGGCCGCGCAACAAGTGGCTCCTCCTACGCTCAACAACAACAACAACAAAGACCTGGCCACCATTATGGATGCGCTGCAGACGGACTACGGGAACTACAAGTACACGGTGTACCGGTGTGCCAGCAAGTTTGTGGCCTTGCAGAAGGTCTTTCACAGTGAGTGGCATGACAGCGATCCCCCAGAGTAGTGTTTCCTAAAGATTTGCGAACCGTTTTCCAGCTGGAAAGATACCGTACAAGCTGCTGCTGGCCATATTGGAGCGGCATGGAATGAACGGCAGCTGGGAACTGATGGTGCCACCCTTCCAGCTGACCTCGCTGCTGCACGACGTCTACTTTGCCTGCGAGAAGCTGGGACACTTTGCTCAGGATAGCTGCTATCAGCTGGACAGGGCCACCGGGATGCTGGCCAACTTTTTCTGGAACGTCTACGATCCGTAAGGGCTCTCTCCCTTTCTCGTTCTACTCTTTATTACTTACGACCCTTCTCTCTCCCTCTTCTTCCAGACAACGCCGCCATTCGATCTCCCTGCTGGAGATCAAGATAACCTTCATCTTGCTCTGCAAGCTGTACAGCAGCGATCACCTGGTTGGCGACTTCTTTGGCCTGCTGGCCGATCCCAAGACACAGATCATGTCGCGCTACGCCTTCGAGCAGCTCCTGGCCACGCTGAGCAAGCTGCTCAGCTATCTGGGCGAGGCCAAGGCCTATGGCTCGCACAATCTGTCCTTGATGATGGAGCAGTGCTTTGCCCGGTGTCCCCATGGCATGGCCGGTCTCGGCGAGCAGCAGTTCCATAAGCTCTGGACGGGCGCCGGTCTTCAGACGCGCTTCCTCATCTACGGCAATCTGTTGGCCCTGATCAAGCGCATCGAGGACACGGAGCACTTGATACATGGCAACTGTTGCGCTGGCTGCCGCAAGGAGAACATCGTGGGGATTAGGTTTCGCTGCCAGGTGTGCCGAGACATCTCGCTGTGCCTGCCCTGCTTTGCGGTAGGCTTTGCAGGCGGCCGTCACGAGCCCAGCCATCGAATGTGCGAGGTCTTTGTGGAGGATCAGCCGCGGCAGCGGTGGACACGGCATTTGGCCAGGCTTTGCGGTTGGTTGTGGGTGCCGCGGCGCAAGACGGCGCAGGAGGAGGAGCGTCGGGGCTTCTGCCATGCCCAGGAGAGTGGAGCCGCCGCTGCCACGCCCATACCCATACCCGCCGAAACGCGAAGTCTACACGAGAGGGAGCAGCAGCAGCAGCAGCAGCACAGCAAGCAGAAGGAGATCCTGCAGCAGCAGGAGCTGTGTTCCCTCACTGGAATGGCCAGCAAGGCCTCGGGCCAGCTGCAGTGCATCATTGATCGTCTGTTGCAGCAGAATGCGTGAGTATATGAGAGGAGGGAGACTTATTTTGAGGCTTTTAATAACCTGGGTTTGCTTTGTAGGAAACTGGAAACACAGCTGGCAACGGTGGCCACCTCGTCCAGCTCGGAAATCTCCGAGTTCTTAAGTGCCCACCAAAGGTTCCTGCTGCAAATCATTGAGGATATGCGGCAGCTATCGGTGGGTTTAAATTGGGCAACAGGAGAAACGGGTGGTGACTTCTTTTCTTTCCTTTTACAGCGCTCTTCCACGCCAGGAGGCACAGCCCCAGCCACAGGTCTGGCGCCGACTCTAGCTCCGGCTCCTTCATTATCCACTGCCTTGGTTAGCTCCACCTTCCTGAGCTCCAGCACACCGCAGAGGCAGCAGCTCTTCGATATGTATGCCCCTGTGGGAGCCAATCTCACGCACTCAAGTAACTAGCGAATCCCCTCGAGAAATTGGGGGTTACCTTCTCAAAAGTGCTGCTTTCAATCCTTTTTTCTTGTAGTAAATGGCGCCGACCTGAATCGCAGCTATTTGGAGGCCAACAAGTCGGATTACTCCCTGAATGACATCAGTTTGTGGTTTGATCAGCGTCGCGCCAGCCAGGGGCCAGGCTCACTGCCTCTCGCTGCCCTGTTGCCAGGAGGAGGAGGAGTAGTAGCAGCTGCTCCACCAGGAGGAGATGGCATGCTTAACTTTAAGCTGCTGGTGCACAAGGTCAAGGAGATTGTGGAGGATTCCTACAGCGACAATGCCGAACTATCGGCGGCCACACAGAATCTGGAGAATGTCCTGGACAGCATCATCAAGGGTGAGGAGCAGCAGCGACGCCTGAGCACGTGAGGAGAAGCGAGATTCAGATTTCAGCCAGACCAAGTCAAGGAATTCCTGTTTTTAAATTGTTTTTGAAAAATGTAATATTTAAGTTGTAAGCTTTTATTTTTTAAACAAAGGAGTCGGACGAGATCGCAATATCATAAACATTATGGCTAGCCACCTATTCCCGGGCATTCTGGCTCCTTATCACAGTGGCCGCCAGCACATCGCTGGCCATTTGCAGGCCTTGGATATGTTGTAGCGGCCCCAGTCGCCTCTCCGCCTTTAGCATCTCTCGCCAGGCCTTTAGCTCCTCGTCGAGACTCGCCTCCAGCTCGAGAGCAGCATCCGCTGGCGAGGAAAGGTACTCGCTCACCTCCAGCTGGGTGAGATTGCAGTGCAGATGCAGGAGGTCGCGCATCAGGCGGTGGAGGAGCAGGCGCAGGCGGGGCTCTGTGGGCGCATAGATGTGCCAATGCTGGCCGGGATCGTCGCGGAGCAAGAGGATGCCGCACCATTGCGACAGCAGCTGGCGGTTGTAGAAGATGCGCTGCAGGAAGGCCGAGTCCGAGGATGACTGGAAGGCAATGTCCGAGCAGGTGGCATCCAGGAGTTGCAGACGGGAGGCTGTCTCAAGAGAACAACCATTAGTTTCCCCTTCAAAGCCAAGGAGGAGCCCCACACTCACCCTGATCCTGGGTCTGGATCAGCTCGAACTGCAGCTTGGCCACCAGCAGCTCCTCGAACCGCGCGCAGTCCTGAGGCGTCTGGAACTCCAGGCGCAGGGAACTCTTGGCCTTCTGGGTAACGATCACGGCCAGAAAGTCCTGGTGCAGCGTGGAGGCCGCAAATGTGGGTGCCAGGGCCTCCATGCCGTCAAGCAGCTTTCTCGCATCCAAACTAACTAAATGCAGCTGCCTGCTCTCAATGGCCGCCGCCTCCAGCTGCTTCTCCTGTCCGCTTCTCACCTCGTACACCGCCATCAGGTGAAGCCGCTCCGCCTGCAGGAGGTCGGCCAGGCTTAGACGCACCACCAGCACTGCCGAGCACTCCGGCGGCAGCTGTGCCGCCTTCGCCACCTGCCTCCATTTGAGACGACGACTGTGCTGCTCCTGACATGCCCAGAACTGGGCCAGCTCCTCGTAATCCTCCGGCGGCTGGCCGTCTGCCTGCAGCGGCAGCTCGTAGAGGCGGTGCTCAAAGGTAAGGCTCGGCGACTGCGGCTCCAGACGCACCAGCGGACGCAGCTCCTGGACAATGCTCAGCCGATGGCCACCGGCTATGTTAATCAGCAGGCAGCCGCAGACCAAATAGTCGCCGCACACGCGCGTCCACACGTCGCCGAAGCGTCGCAACAGCTGCTTCTCCTCCAGGAGCAGGGAACGCTGGCCAGGCGGCCCGAAGGTCTGCAGGTCCTGGCTGCGGGAAAAGTCCTGCTGCGTCTGCGCCCGCTGGCTAGAGAGCTCCGCCCGGGCGCTGTGCACCTGCTGCAGCAGGCGCTCAAACTTCTGCGACGACACGGAAACCGTGGCGGAGGCAGGGTCGCTGGCCTTGCTGGAGGTACTGGGGCCCTCGTCCAGCGGTGGCTCCTGAAAGTCCGTGCACAGGCGCTTGCCACTGCTGGCGAACTGCAGCTCCACGTAGGCCTGGAAGGGAATGGGGCCGCCAGTCATGCGGAAGGAGGCCACATCCAAGTGCTGGGCCACCAGCTCAAAGTTGCAGCCATGCTCCTTGGGCCGGCGCAGGACGAGGAGCAGCTGCCAGCAGTGCAGCAGCAGATAGATCTGATCCTGCTGCCACACGTACTTGCCTATCTTGATGGGCAGCTCCTCTGACGACGACAGCATGCTGCAGTCCAGCTCCTGGCCATTTACAGACCCCGGCTCCTTGGGCAGGAAGTGGCTCACGGGTCCGGCGTAGCTCTCCAGCTTGCCGGCCAACCGCTGCAGCCGTGTGCCCCTCAAATCGATGTGATGCAGCAGCTCCTTGCGCCGGAACTCGTAGAACTTGAGGTTCCGGGCGAGCACCAGGCTGGAGGTGGCCTTGTGCCGCTCCCGGCCGCGCCCCAGGTGCAGGTTGCAGCTGAAGGCGATGCGCGAGCGCTGCAGCAGCAGCTCCGGAACGTGCTCCTCGACGAAGGGCAGCATGGACGCCGAATCCACCAAGGTAAACAATGTGGCGACCACAACAGTAAATCAAAGGCCGTGATTTGGCGGGCGGCCAGAGATGGCTCTAGATCGACAGAAGGACGGAAGCGAAAATCGGTATATCGATTGGTTAGAAGGTGGCAATCCTATATCGATTTCGGCGATTATTCAACAAGTGGTGCCTATCGGCCAAACACGTTCGTCGAACACATTCTCTCTCGGTTCGGTTGCAACGGAGCCGAAGGCTGCCGAAGTTTGTTCGCTCTCGAACACTCTACATTCGACACGAGAATTCGACCCCAAGCATGTAAAACTTTGTTTTGACATTTTACTTTGAAGTTCAGAGTGACCAAGGGGAAAATATCAAACAAAGAGCGATTTCGATATTTGGGCAAAAAGTATCGTTATAATTAGGTTTTGAAACTAGCTAAATTGGCAACATTTGTTGTTGTAAGCGGCAAGAAGAATACGGCAAACATCTCGCCGCCCGCATTCCTCGCCGCCCGCGCGCGTGCTCCCTGATTCGCACCCACTCCCTTCAAGAGCTTCAGCGCCGTGTATGTGTGTCCGTGCACGAGATTTCTTGTTCGGTTTTGCTTGTATCTGTTAATACTGCTGCTGCCCGTTGCATTGCCGCCGCATCTTTTCTCTTCTTCTTCTTATTATAAAAAAATCGCAATGCTCTCTTACTCTGCCAACTGCAGCTGCAACTGTTAACTGCAAAAGTAAAACGAAACGCGAGGCAAACACAGTTTTTGTCGTTCAGTGCAGTGCAATTACAAGAACAACAAACGGGAAAATAAGAAGCAGAAGAGGAATAACAATAACAACAAAAGCCGGAGCAACTGAAGCGCAAACACACACATACTCACACACACTCGTTGACGGGCAGCAGCAGAGCAGAGTAGGGATTGCGAAAGCGAGATAGAAATAAAGTAGGCATAATTTATAGCACACGCAAAACGGGCTAATTATAATAGAAAACTAAAAAGAATCGATGAAAACGGAACGGGGGCTGAAGGAAAAGCCAAGAAAGTATTAACCACGGCTACTACGGTGACGGCTGCAAACAAACAAACCAACCAACAAACGGACGCCCACCACAGCTGTGAATCAGGTCGCCCCTGCTGCCCCGCTAGCTACTCCCGGCTCCTCCTCCAGTTTCCGATTCGGATTCGAACTGAGTCTCACACACATTATGGTAAGTGCATACGTGCTGCCCGCTGCCGCCTTTTTGGAGTGGCTCTGGCCAAAAGCGGCAATGGCAACAACTCCCACTCGCGCCGCAGCCAACAGCCCGCTGGCTTGTCCATGTTCCATGCTCCAAGCTGGCTCCCAGTCGCAGTTCCCGTTCAAACTTCGTGGCCAGCAGTTGGTTTCCTTTCAGGCACACACACCTACACAGTGTCACCTCCACAAGGCGAACACTGCGAAAGCTTCCTATCAAGCTTATGGACATAAATAACTGTAACTTGAGAAGACTGTACCAAAGTACGATTCTTTTATGTGTAGTTAACAGTAAAATCTGCTTAACTGCTGAGAAGTACAGTGAAGCCTGCTTAGCTGCAACCTAAGATTGTATATTTAATCTCGAACAGTTCCAAGATTAGTGCTAGAACTCGGTAGCCTTTGTAATCTGTAATCAGAGTCCCCAAAAGTGTGTCAACACTCGTAATCTCTGTGCTTTGACATTTTTGTTTCGTAAACTTCTATTTCATATCTGGCTTTCATACGAACTAAAACAAGTTTTCTTATGTTTTAAGTTTGTCTAATTATATTGAAAATAATCAGTGCATCTTGGCCCCTCCATCTCATTGTGTGTGTGTGTTTGTGTCTGTAATCGAGACTAAGCCTTATACATTATTTATCCGCAGAGCCCGCCCATCGTCACGCGACGCGGCGCCCAGCAGGCAAAGATCCAGACTCGCGCCATGGTCAAATCCAAGTCGACCGCTGGCGGTACGACGGCAGCAACGGCAGCTGGAATGTTTGGCGGTAGCGGGAACAGCAGCAGCAGCGGAAACAGCAGCAGCAGTGGGAACAGCAGCACCAATGTCGGCGATCAGCGAAAGGCTGGCAAACCGAGCACAGCGCTCTTGGAGGCGAAACGTCGTGCACGGAATATGCTCAAGAATCAGGGAAACGCTACGGCCATGCAGGAGACGGTGACCGATATATTCCAGAATGTAAGCTCTTGTTTCCCATCTAGTAACGGTTTATTAATGGGCATTATCTTGGAGAAATGCAGGCCATGAATGCCAAGGGCTTGGTGCAAAGACCCACGGCCCTGATCTATGATGAGACCATGAGCCAGCACTGCTGTCTGTGGGACAAGGAGCACTACGAGTGTCCCGAGCGCTTTACACGCGTCCTGGAGCGGTGAGTTCCCAGACCTTGATATTGTTTTTAGTATTTTTTAATTAAATTATGCATTTTTTTACTTTCCTCAGCTGCCGTGAGCTGAACCTGGTGGAAAGGTGCAACCAACTGCCTTCTAGGGCCGCCACCAAGGAGGAGATCCTGCGCCTGCACACCGAGGAGCACTTTGAGCGGCTTAAGCAGACCGCTGGCATCCGCGACGACGAGCGCATGGAGGAGCTGAGCTCCCGCTACGATTCAATCTACATTCATCCGGTGAGCAAATCGATACCAGGCTGGGTACCAGGCACCTGGTACCCCTTCAGGCGCTTAATTGCCTGGTGATTACGCTTGATTGCCCGGGGAGATTGTGCTGATTTCAGTTCACTTGCCATTCGAGAAAAATGCAAATGCATGCAGATTAGATTAGAGGGGCTTAGGCACAGTGAAGTTCAGTAGTATCTGTGGGATTGTAACTTTTAAAATTAAGCTTATTTCCTCCTTTACTATTGTCTTAATATTCAGGGGTGAGGTCCCAGGCTTTATAGTTATTTATTCGCTGTAAAATAATTGGTTTAAATTGAATTATAAGCTGCCAGATTGGGTTTAAATTAAGAAAATTAATACAAATTTTCATATTTATTCGCGTGCAAATATTAAGTTTACTTATAGATCTTTTATGTGCTATATCGTTGCCTTGCGATTAACTTGATTATTTAATTTTCAAAAATTACGATAATTCAAAACATTTAGACCATAAAAATTTAAAACTTTAACTGTATTATTGAATTTTCTTAAGTTGAAAGAAAATCAGTTAAAAACACTTGGAATCTTTAGCTTTATTATTTTATTTTTAAAGAAGTAACAAAAATGCAGTTGAAAATATTCACATATATTTTGAATTCGGATCAAAATCGAAGGATTGTATTAACAAATAAATAGTTTTATAATTAATTTAATAATAGTTATTTATAAATATTTCTTTTTTATGATTCATGGGTTTTATTATTTACAATTCCCAATTGTGTACAGCAAATCAATACCTGGTATCTCCCCCTATCTCTATGCATATGGAACGCACTGTAAATCCATGAAATCCATATAGTATAGTGTTTATTATTGAGCTTAGATAAGGCTTTTTCAAGATTACAAATTGTTCTTTTTGATAACCTCCTATTCTCTTTTCTATCCTGTCTTTCTTCTCTCCCCTCCTGCCCTCCTGCCCTCAGTCCACCTTTGAACTGTCCCTGCTGGCCACCGGCTCCACCATTGAACTGGTGGATCAACTGATTGCTGGCAAGGCGCAGAATGGCATGGCCATCATCCGGCCGCCGGGTCATCATGCCATGAAGGCCGAGTTCAATGGCTATTGCTTCTTCAACAATGTGGCCCTGGCTGCCCAGCACGCCCTGGATGTGCACAAGCTGCAGCGCATCCTGATCATTGACTACGATGTCCATCACGGGCAGGGAACGCAGCGGTTCTTCTACAACGATCCCAGGTGAGTGAAAGGAGGAGAGCCTTAGCAGAGCGCTCCCTAACCAAGTGTGTCCGTCAGGGTGGTCTACTTCTCCATACATCGCTTCGAGTACGGCTCGTTTTGGCCGCACCTCAAGGAGTCGGACTACCACGCCATCGGGTCTGGTCCCGGGACTGGCTACAACTTTAATGTGCCCCTGAATTCCATCGGGATGACGAATGGCGATTACCTGGCCATTTTCCAGCAGCTGCTGCTGCCCGTGGCCCTGGAGTATCAGCCCGAACTGATCATCGTCTCCGCTGGCTATGACGCCGCCCTGGGCTGTCCCGAGGGCGAAATGGAGGTGACGCCCGCCTGCTATCCTCACCTGCTCAACCCGCTACTCCGGCTGGCCGATTCCCGTGTGGCTGTGGTCCTTGAGGGTGGCTATTGCCTGGACTCCCTGGCCGAGGGTGCCGCCTTGACGCTTCGCTCTCTGCTCGGTGATCCCTGCCCGCCGCTGGTGGAGCCGCTGGCCCTGCCGCGTCCCGAGCTAGCCAAGGCCTTGCTCAGCTGCATCTGCCTGCACAGGCCGCACTGGCGTTGCCTGCAGCTCCAGAGAACGTACGAGGTGACCGAAATGGCCGACCTGTATCGGGATTGCGAAGGCGATAGTGGCAGCGGCAGCGATCTGCATCAGATTATGCGCATTTGGATAGGCGGACCGCCGCCCGTGGATCGTTATCCCACGCGCGACACAGCCATCCCCTTGCCGGCGGAGAAGAAGGTCAGGAATCTGGCCCGCCTGCAGGTGCTGCGCACAGAGACGAAGCTATCGATACCCCCGATCCGGGTGTGCTATGCCTACGATCCCCAGATGTTGGAGCACTCGAATCTCCATGATCCCGGGCATCCGGAGCAGCCCTCGCGCATCCGGCACATCCATAAGATGCACGAGGAGTACGCCCTGCTGGCCAGGATGAAGCAGCTGCCGGCGGGCAGGACAGCCACCACGGACGAGGTCTGCCTCGCCCACACACGTTCCCATGTGAATTCCGTGCGTCGCCTGCTCGGCCGCGATCCGGAAGAACTGCAGCAGCTGGGAGCGAGCTACAATTCGGTGTATCTGCATCCGCGCACCTTCGATTGCGCCACTTTGGCCGCCGGATCTGTGCTGCAGGCGGTAGAGAGTGTCTTGCGCGGTGAATCTCGCAGCGGTATCTGCAATGTCCGTCCGCCAGGACACCATGCCGAGCCGGATCAGCCGCATGGATTCTGCATCTTCAACAACGTGGCCATTGCCGCACAGTATGCCATCCGGGACTTTGGCTTGGAGCGGGTGCTCATCGTGGACTGGGATGTCCATCATGGGAACGGCACCCAGCACATCTTCGAGTCGAATCCCAAGGTGCTGTACATCAGTGTCCATCGCTACGAGCATGGAACCTTCTTCCCCAAGGGACCCGATGGCAACTACGATGTGGTGGGCAAGGGAGCGGGCAGGGGCTTCAATGTGAATATACCCTGGAACAAGGTGGGTGTCTGTCTGCTCCGTTGCACATTATCCTTATTTCCTAATCTCTTTTCACTTTTGCAGAAGGGCATGGGCGACCTGGAGTATGCCCTGGCCTTCCAGCAGCTCATCATGCCCATTGCCTATGAGTTTAATCCCCAATTGGTGCTCGTTTCGGCCGGTTTCGATGCCGCCATCGGCGATCCCCTTGGCGGCTGCAAGGTCACACCCGAGGGCTATGGCCTGCTCACCCACTGGCTATCGGCCCTGGCCGGCGGCAGGATCATCATATGCCTGGAGGGTGGCTACAATGTGAATTCCATTTCGTATGCAATGACCATGTGCACGAAGACGCTGCTGGGCGATCCGGTACCCACGCCCCAGCTGGGTGCCCAGGCCCTGCAGAAGCCGGCAACTGTGGCCTTCCAGAGCTGTGTGGAGACATTGCGGGCGTGCCTTCAGCTGCAGGCCCGGCACTGGAAATCGCTTGAGTTTGTGGGCTGCCAGCGGCTGCCGCTGGAGCCGCTCGTGGGCGAGAATAACAACGAGGATTTTCTTACCGCCTCCTTGCGGCAGTTGAATATTTCAAGTGACAGCGTTCGGCGGACGACGGGCGGAGCCGAAGGCGATCGGACCGATTGCGGCGAGGAGCGGCCCAGCGGGAGCAAGCCCAAAGTCAAGGTAAAGACTCTCACCGAGTACATGGCAGAGCACAAGGAGGTATGACGAACATTATCCACAAAATCATCATCATCATCCCCCTAGCTAATCGGTTGTCTCTGTCTCTGTCTCTCTCCCCTCTGGTTGTCTCCCTCATTTCCATGCCACCAACTTTTTTAAATACCCCATTTTGCGCTCACGTTTTCACCTTGATCCTTGCCTGGGCTTTCCTAGGCCCTCGAGCAGAATGAGATGTTCGCCGTGTATCCGCTCAAGACGTGTCCGCACTTGAGCCAGTTGCTGCCAGAGGAGGCGCCGCTAAGTAAGACTTCTGTTTCCCCAACAGTTTAATCCAGCTTCTGCTTCTGTGTGTGTTGTGTGCCACTGCAGCGAGGCTTTGATTGTGCTGAAAATGTTATTTTGTGTTGTGCTACGATTTTAGCGTTCTATTTTTGTTTTAAAGTTTAGTGCAAAGGTTCAATAATTAATGTTGTTTGTAAAGCATGCTTGAACTCTGCATTTATGGAGCTTGTTGCTTTTTCTGTGCTTCCTTTCGCTTCCAAGTTGCTTGTGCTTGACCCTCTGGTGCCACTTCCCACAACAATGGAATAAGTTGAATGAAATCATTTTTTCTACAGTGATTTGTGGCTCCTAGGGGGCTTTCAACGCTTCTATGCATAGGCCTAATGTTTTCCTAACTGCTAATAAATATTTAAACGTTGAAAGTCGCCTAGAGGGTTAAGAACTAAGTCCGGTTGATGGTTTCGCATGCGCTCTGGCTTTTTGAGAATATATATTTCTTTTTGTGTGGAAATTAACTAAACACGAATTTATTTGCAATATATTTTTATCTCGCCCTGCAGCAATAAACACAAATGCGGCGTGCAGTGGGTGCAATTCGCTGGCCGAGAACTGGGTGTGTCTGAGCTGTCGGACGGTGGCCTGCGGGCGTTACGTGAACGAGCACATGCAGATGCACTCCCTGGGCTCCGATCATCCGCTGGCCCTCAGTCTGAGCGACCTCTCCGTGTGGTGCTATGCGTGCTCCGCCTACCTCGATCATCCCCGCCTGTACGCGTTCCTCAATGCGGCGCATGTGGACAAGTTCCAGGAGCCCATGGCCTGGACATATGCCTGCCAGCGGCGCGCGGATGGTTGCTACGGACTGGGGCCGGACGGACAGGACCAGGATGACGACTGTATTCCGGGCGGCGCCGGGAGTATCTGCATCCAGCTGGAGCGAAATAACAATGACAGCAACTGACCCATGGCCCTCGTCCGCGTGCTGGACGCCCTCACCAACTACATGTGCGCGCTCTGTCCGCCACTCAGACACCTGCTCCAGTTTCTGGCCGAGCACCTGTGGCCGCTGCTAGAACGCATTTATCTAAACCTTCTACACTACTTCCTGGCCCCCTGAGAGGGGGATGGCTAGACAGATGGCTATCCCGCCGCTCCCACCCCTAGCACTGAGCTGAGCGAAATGAAAAGGTGAAGTTATTGTTGATTTGGGAGCTGACATCCTGACCCCGGCTCCCTCTACTGTACGCATAAATTCAAATTGTTAATAATGTTATCAGCTGATTATCATCCAATAAAAATGTGGATAATTTATTGAGTATTTTTCACTCGCTAACGCTTCAACCGGGGACCGTAAATGAGCATTATCCTTCAAGATTAAGTCTGGATTTTTCTATATTTATTTGTATATTTTAATTATTAGTTTTTAAGGGTTATTTAATCGCTCAAAATAGCAACTTTATTTACAGTCGTAACATGGAAAGGAGGAGGAGACTAAAGCCGACTAATTAATTGATAATTATTTCTTTCTCTGCTGCTTGCCCTTCCGCTGGGAGGAGGCTGGTACGGCTGGCGGCTGCTTCCTCTTGAGGGGCCTCCTTCGCCGGTCGCCAGCGTCACTAGAGGCATCACTGTCGCTGTCGGAGAGCTCATCGCTATCCTCCTCTTCGTCCGAATTGCTGTCTTCGCTGGTGTCCTCATCCTTCGGCTTTGGCAGCGCCCCCTTGGGCTGCTTCTTTTTGGAGGTCTTCTTGGCTTCCGCCTCAACTTTCGTCTGCTCATCCTGTTCGTACTCAATGGTCACGTAGCCCCGCGGCGTCGGAACCTTCGGGGTCTCCGCCATAGGCGCCGCTTTGTCCTCCACTTTGATGGGCTTCATCTGGGCACGGACATTGCCGAACTTGCTGAGATCCAGCAAGCCAAGGCCGGTGGGACGACAGTCTATGTTGGTGCTGGCCAGCTCCGTGAGCTTTTGTTTGTCGAGACTGCAGCGCCAGACTTTGATCTCGCCCGAGCTAAGAAATATGAGAGTGGGATTAGGAATTAGGGCTTCCTTCTACGCAGAAAACTCACCTGCAGGCGGTGACCAGGGTTTCGTTCAAACAGGCCATGGCCTTGACCCGGGACTCGTCGTGGGCGGGAATTATTTTTGGCTGTCGGGGAAAGGAGCGAGGGCGCATTAACACACGCAAATAATATACTTGAAAAGGTAATCCCACTGACCGCTGCGTTAAGATCGTCCTCCAGCGAAGTCCAGGCAATGCTGCCGTTCTCAAGGCCTGCCAGGCACACCTTGGCATTCAGCCAGCTGACGCACACTGGTTTGGCCGGCGTCTTGGCACGCCTTACCACTTGGGCGTTCTTGATCTCCCAAATCTCCAGCAGAAGGGGGCCGCTCAGCGTAAAGTGGTCGCCGCTCGTGGACCAGGACAGGCAATCCGGGGCACTGCCCAGGGTTTTCTTGCTCTTCAGGTTTGTCCTGTAGGCCACCCGACCCTTGACCAGATTCCAGGTATTGAGCACCAGATCGCCGCCCAGGGACAGGGCCAGCTTGCTGCTGGGATGGCAGCTGATGTGGGTGACTGGCTTGCCGGCATGGGGCTTGCACCAGTCGGCCTCAGTGGTCCAGGTGGCCACGCGGGTAGCGATCATGTGGCCATCGGCGCTGCCCGAGATCAAGTGCGTTAGGTCGGGCGAAAAGGTCAGCGTGTTGACAGTGCCAGCGTGCGAGAGCAGGATCTGGCACTGCTTTCGAATGCGCATGTCATAGACAAAGATGCGGTCATCTATGCCGCCGGTGGCCACCCAGGGACCCTGGACAGCCATGGATTTGATGGAGCCGGCGTGCGATTTCTCTGCAAACGTTTGCTTCAGTCGGAATTTGCTGGACGTTTCGCCATCCTGGTCGAGCTCCGCGAACTGGTAGCCCACCAGGAACTCCTCGTAGGTGCCCACGATGATCTCGATGTCTGGTGGCATGCTGTTTTTTTTATTTATTATTTAAAATCAATTTGTTTATGCTGAAGACGCTGTCAACACGTGTGCGAGAGGTTGCAACATCAACCACAAATATCGATATCGATATACATATGTACATATGTTATTTAGTATTTTCTGCAGGGCCAAGTTCAGGGTCACACTGATGCGGTAACAAGTGCAAAATTAACAATAATACAATTTTAGACAAGTTTTAAACAAATGCGCGTGGGCAGCCTGCTGCGCTTCCGCAGCACCGCCCTAAGGAGCTCCTCCGCCCGGCAGCAGTATGTGCCACAGCACAATCCGGCGGTGGTGGATGACATCAAGCGACTGGAGGATTTCCTGCTGTCCAAACCGAATGTTTTGGTTCTGACGGGAGCAGGAATCTCAACGGAATCGGGTGAGTTCCCCTCCCCGTATTTAATTACCCCAGCATCCAGCTAATATAATATAATACACCTCAGGGATTCCCGACTACCGTTCCAAGGGCGTGGGACTCTACGCCCGGTCCAATCACAAGCCGGTGCAGCACATGGAGTTCGTGAAGTCGTCGGCGGTCCGCAAACGTTACTGGGCCCGTAATTTCGTGGGCTGGCCCACGTTCTCCGTCACCCAGCCGAATGCCACGCATCATGCCCTGGCCAGATTCGAGCGGGAGGAGCGCGTCCAGGCGGTGGTCACCCAGAATGTGGATCGGCTGCACACCAAGGCGGGCAGCCGGAACGTAATGGAGGTGCATGGCAGTGGCTTTGTGGTCAAGTGCTTGTCCTGTGAGTATCGCATCGATCGTCACGAGTTCCAGAGCATTCTTGCCTCCCTCAATCCGGCCTTTAAAGACGCCCCCGACATGATCCGGCCCGATGGCGACGTGGAGATACCCGCGGAATACATCGATAACTTCCACATACCCGCTTGCCCGCAGTGCGACGGGGACTTGAAGCCCGAGATCGTATTCTTTGGGGATTCGGTGCCCAGGGCGCGACTGGACAAGATCGCAGAGATGGTGTACAACAGCGATGGCCTCCTGGTGCTCGGCTCCAGTCTCCTGGTCTTCTCCGGCTACCGGATCGTACTGCAGACCAAGGATCTCAAGCTGCCGGTGGCCATAGTCAATATAGGAGATACGCGTGCCGATCATCTGGCGGACATCAAGATATCCGCCAAGTGCGGCGATGTGATACCCAAGCTCTTTGATTTTCGTTCCACGAAAAGCTCCTAGCTAATCCTCAGATTCTGTTATTGTTATAAATGTGTGTCCAATAAATGGAATATATATGCCAATAAATATTTTAAATACTTTATTTTTATTTTGTAACTAAAAAATTATTGTTTTTTGGTCACATTAAAAAAATAATTCAAACTCAAATTCCTGCAAGAAAAAATACCAGCAAGTTTTTAAAATACCATAAGTAATCGATAGCGATATCAATATCGATGACCGGTGGACAGCAATTTCACAAAAAAAAAAACAAGGAAACAAGCCGGATGGCAACTGAAAATTTAGAAAAAAGTCAATAAAAGGAATTGAGCTTTGACGTTTGGGCTGTTCTGCGGAAGAAATCCAGTATTTTGGGCATCGGTTAGCCACCGTTCGTTAGTAGGAGGCGTAACTGCGGTGAACCGGCGGCCCCGGCACCAGCAAATCGGCAATGTCGAAGAGTTCTGGGTAAGTTTTCCACTTTTTTCTTCCAACATTTCCTATAATAGTTGTATCCTTTCCTCTACAGGCGCGAGCGGGACAGGGATAGGGAGCGGGACAGGGACAGGGAGCGGGACAGAGACAGGGATCGCGATAATCGCAGCAGGGACTATGACATGGGAAAATCCCGCAATGGGGGAGCAGGAGGAGGAGGCGGCGGTAGCAGCTTTGGCAGTTCCCGCAGCGGCCGGGACGATCGTAAGCGTGGCAAGGATTCGGCCAGCGAACGCGGCAGGCGGGATGAGAAGCGAAGGAAGCGTTCCAGGTCCAAGGATTACGACAAGGACAAGTGAGTGGTTCCCAATCCGTCTAGAGCGCAGGACTAAAGCTTTTTCCTTACCCTTTACAGGCGCCTTGACCGCGATAGAGACCGGGACCGCGATCGCCAGCGAGAGAAGGAGCGCGAGCGCGAGAAGGAAAAGGAACGCGACCGGGAGAAGGAGCGCGATCGTGATCGCCAGCGGGACCGGGAGTCGGAGGGCAGACGTCCCGCCGCCTCTGCACCTCTGATTATACCGGTGCCCTCGTCCAGCTCCTCGGACGAGGAGGTGGAGGAGATCGACAAGGAGGAGCAGCAGCGTCGCCTGGAGCAGGAAATGATTAAGCGGCGCGAGCGCATTGAGCGCTGGCGGGCTGAACGCAAGCGGGACACCAAGGCGCCGGCCGTGGCGTTGGCTGCGGTAAAAACCGCCAAGAAGTGGAGCCTGGAGGATGAGTCCGAGGAGGATGACAGCAACCATGATCCGTCGCTGGACAGCGGCAAGAAGGATGCCGAGCCCGACTCGCCGCCTTCCAAATTCCATAGCATTCGCAAGCGCTTCGACGACGATGCCGTCGAGACCAAGTTCTCCCCTATGAAGCGACCCACCTTTGGCAAGGCGTTCGGCGCCAAGCTGGGCATGGGCTTGGCACCCAAAACGGAGGCGGAGCTCAAGAAGGAGGCACCTGCCGCTGAGCACAAGGAGGTGAAGAAGGAGGCGCAGCCGGAGCCAGAGCCAGCTGAAGCTCCCGCAGCTCCCGTCAAAATGGAGACGGATGAGGCTAAGAAGAAGGAAACTTCTCTGCCGGAACCCGAAACCGCAACCGCAACCGAACCGGAAGCTGAAGAAGCTGCTCCTCCGGCTGAAACCCAGCCCGAAGACGATATAGATCCGCTGGACGCCTACATGCAGGAGGTCAACAACGAGATGCGTCGCGTCAACAACTTTGTGAATCCGCCCACCAAGGCGCAGGGCGTGGTCATCCTCACGGGCGTGGCCAAGAAGAAGTCAACGACGACAAAGAAGGGCGAGCTGATAGAACAGAATATGGACAGTCTGGAGTACTCCAGCGAGGATGAGCTGGAGGACATACGCGACACGGCCGTCAATTTGGCGATGAAGCATCGCAAGGAGCTGGCCAAGATAGATCATTCCTCGGTTAGCTATGCTCCTTTCCGCAAGAACTTTTACGTGGAGGTGCCCGAACTGGGGCGCATGACGTCCGGCGATGTGGAGAAGTATCGCCAGGAGCTGGAGGGGGTGCAGGTGAAGGGCAAGGGCTGTCCCAAGCCCATCAAGGTGAGTCTGAATACCAAAAACTAGAAGATCTGGATAACTAGTGGCTCCCCTTCTCCCCCACAGACCTGGGCCCAGTGCGGCGTCAGCAAGAAAGAGATGGACGTGCTGCGCAAGCTGGGCTTCGAGAAACCCACTCCCATCCAGTGCCAGGCCATACCGGCCATCATGTCCGGACGGGATCTGATAGGTATTGCTAAAACCGGCAGTGGCAAGACGTTGGCATTCATTTTACCAATGTTTAGGCACATCCTGGACCAGCCGAGCCTGGAGGATGGCGACGGTGCCATAGCCATCATCATGGCGCCCACGCGCGAACTCTGCATGCAGATCGGCAAGGACATACGCAAGTTTAGCAAGTCCCTGGGCCTGCGCCCTGTCTGTGTTTATGGCGGCACGGGGATCTCCGAGCAGATAGCCGAACTGAAACGCGGCGCCGAGATCCTTGTGTGCACGCCCGGTCGCATGATCGACATGCTGGCGGCCAACTCGGGGCGCGTTACAAACCTGCGACGTGTCACCTACGTGGTCCTGGACGAGGCGGATCGCATGTTCGACATGGGCTTCGAGCCGCAGGTGATGCGCATCATCGACAACGTGCGCCCGGATCGCCAAACGGTCATGTTCAGTGCCACCTTCCCGCGCCAAATGGAGGCCCTGGCCCGTCGCATCCTCAAGAAGCCCATCGAGGTGATTGTCGGCGGCAGGTCGGTGGTCTGCAAGGACGTCGAGCAGAATGTGGTCATCCTCAGCGATGATGCCAAGTTCTTTAAGCTGCTGGAGCTGCTGGGCATATACCAGGAGGCGGGCAGCATCATTGTCTTTGTGGACAAGCAGGAGAATGCAGACAGCCTGCTGCGCGACCTGATGAAGGCCTCCTATCCGTGCATGAGCCTGCATGGAGGCATCGATCAGTTCGATCGCGATTCCACCATTATAGACTTCAAGTCGGGCAAGGTGCGGCTGCTGATAGCCACCTCGGTGGCGGCACGCGGCCTCGATGTCAAGGATCTCATACTGGTGGTCAACTATGATGTGCCCAATCACTACGAGGACTATGTCCACAGGTGTGGACGCACTGGACGTGCGGGCAAGAAGGGCAGCGCCTTCACCTTCATCACCCCGGAACAATCGCGCTATGCCGGCGATGTGATTCGCGCCCTGGACCTCTCCGGCAGTTTGATTCCCGCCGAGCTGCAGACCCTGTGGACGGAGTACAAGGCCGCCCAGGAGGCCGAGGGCAAGACAGTGCACACCGGCGGTGGGTTCAGCGGCAAGGGCTTCAAGTTCGACGAGCAGGAGTTCAATGCCGTCAAGGAGAGCAAGAAGCTGCAGAAGGCTGCCCTCGGGTTGGCCGATTCCGATGATGAAGAGGACATTGAGCAGGATATTGACCAGCAGATCGAACAGATCTTTGCCGCCAAGCGTACGGTGAAGGACACCTCGGCCTCGGCCACAGCTGCGGCGGCGGCCACTGCCGCTGCGGTTGCCGCCGCTGCTGCCGCCGCCGCCGCTTCCGGTGGCAATGTGGCTTTGGCCTCGGCAGCTGCCGCCGCTGCTGCTGCCAATATGGCCATTGCAGCGGCATCTGCTGGCGCTGTACCGGGCGGTGGTGCACCTACGGCTGCTGGTGCCGCTGGAGCTGGAGCCGTTGGCGGAGCAGCCCTCAGCTCAGACAAACTGGAGCTGGCCAAGCGCCTGGCCTCTAAGATCAACAGCAGCAAGAATCTGGACACAAAGAGCACGGTGACGGTTGTGGAGCCGCTGCTCAAGGGACAGCATGTTCCGGGCACAGCACCGCCGCTGCTGACGGCACGAACGGTGGCCGAGCAGATGGCCGCCAAGCTGAACAACAAGCTCAACTACCAGCCCAAGGAGGATGAGGAGGCACTGGGCACCATGGCGGGCGGCACTACCAACTCGTTTACCAAATACGAGGAGGAGCTGGAGATCAACGATTTCCCGCAACAGGCCCGCTGGAAGGTCACCTCCAAGGAGGCCCTCGCCCAGATCTCTGAGTACTCGGAGGCGGGCCTCACTGTGCGCGGCACCTATGTGCCGCAGGGCAAGAATCCGCCGGATGGCGAGCGGAAGCTCTACCTGGCCATCGAGAGCTGCAGCGAGTTGGCCGTGCAGAAGGCCAAGCGCGAGATCACGCGCCTCATCAAGGAGGAGCTGCTGAAGCTCAGCTCGGCTCATCATGTCTTCAACAAGGGGCGCTACAAGGTGGTCTAGGCAACTGGGAATGATAAATTGCGAGCAACAAAAAACTGTAAAAATCTAAATTACAATCAAATCTAATAAAGATTTATTTTTAACTTAAAGGCTGGCAGAATAAAAATGAAACGAAGTGACTAGCTATTTTTAATATTTAATTTATAAATATTTATAGAATATACTGTGCCAGTTTTTCAGTGCCTCAAGTATACTAGTGTTAACGTGGGCGCATAAAAAACGTTAAACAGATTTTTTCAGTCACTTTTTTCATTATAAGTTTTATTTTGAAAATCGCTTAACAAATATTTTACATTGATTTATATTTTTGTTTACCATAAATACTGATTAAAATTGAGTAATATTTTAAAATTAATCATAATTATTATTTTTTATCAACATAATTAAAATCAGCACATCATTTTTTTTATTAAAAAACATAAAAATCTAAAATAATTATTATAAATCTTGCTGATTTCAAATATTTTTATTAAAAATTATAATTATGGGCTTATTTAAATTATTTCAATAATAATTATTATTTTTGAGAAAGTAAACAATGCCCTTTTTGCCATTTGCAATTATGTACATCGTTAGTAACCAATTAAAAAAGGAAAATATTTAATTTTGTGCCTGTTCCGATCGAAACTCGGCCACAATTAAAAATGCAAATAAAGCGGATCGTAGAAATTTAACAATTAACTTCTGATTGGAAGTGGATGCCATTCGTTATCCAATATCGTCCACAATCTGTGTCGACTCTCTCTCCGCTCAGAGCTTCCCGTTTATTTCGCCGTCTTCTCGAATTCAGCCATTATCTCTTTATTTCGCCGCATTTTGCGCTCTCTATTCTACACGAGAATTCGACCCCAAACTAACATTCCCATAAATATTTGACACTGTTATTCTGTAAGCGTGTAAGAGTAGTTTTGACATGCACAAGCTCAAAGAGAGGACTCTCTCGCCGCTCTCTTGCGCCGTCTTCCGCCATTCTGCCATTCTACATTAATTTCGCTCTCGCACTCGCCAGGATCGGTCGAAAAATACGCGGCTCCCAGAAAAACAAGGGAAAAACAGGGAAAAACGTTCGGAAAAGCGGGAAAAATTAGTCTCGTCGGGAAAACTAGCCCTCCTGAGGGATTGGCAACTCTTTTCTTTGCGAAAATCCGAGTGAAAACGAAGAAAATCTACGCTGAAAGAGTGTGTCGACTCTCGCGCCGCTCAGAGCTTCCCATTTATTTCGTCGTCTTCCGCCATTCTGCCATTCTACATTAATTTCGCTCTCGCACTCGCCAGGATCGGTCGAAAAAGACGCGGCTCCCAGAAAAACAAGGGAAAACGTTCGGAAAAACGGGAAAAAGTGGTCCCGTCGGAAAACTATCCCTCCAGAGGGATCGGAAACTGTTTTCTGCGCGAAAATCCGAGGGAAAACCGAGAAAATCTACGCTAGTACTGCGTAGTCTTGACGGCCGGCTATAAGTATGCAAGTGTTAGTGAAATAGGATGCGTGAGCATGTGGCAGTGCTTTTTTGTTTTTTTTGTTTTGTGTTTTTCTCTGCTCACAGCGTCCCGTTTTCTTGGCCGTCCTCGAGAGTTCCGCCATTCCCTCGTCATTTTGCTCGCATTCGAGTTGATCGGTCGGAATATACGCGGCTCCTGTGAAAACGCAGGAAAAACGTTCGATAAAACGGAAAACGTCGTCCGGTCGGGAAAACTATCCCTTCGGAGGGATCGGTACCGGTTAATCGGGTGAAAATCCGTGTTGAAGCCGGAAAAAACCTGCGCTCGGGCTGCACAGCCAATAAGTGCCGGTTATTGGTGTGCAGTTTTTTCGTGCATAAACTAAAAAAAAAACTGAAATGGAATTTCGATTTACAGAGGAATTTACAAAATACAAAGTGAGTACAGTCATCCATTATTTGTTTTTTATTTTTTTTCGCTCTCAGTCTTTGCCTTTGCATATTTTCTTTTGTACCGTTATTCGGCACACGCAGAGCAAAGCATCGTTCGCTCTGCTCTATCGCTGTCTCTCTCTCTCAATTCTTTACTGCCGCCTCGGCTTTTTCTTGTTCTGCATTGTGTTTCTGATTCTTGCGCTTCAAATAACATGTAAAAGCAAACGAAAGGAAAGCGCTCTCTCACAGAAGGCAGAACGTAAAATACGATCCACATCTGTGGATTGGCCATTTTTGGTGTTCTTTGCTGTGATTTCGGCTGTAAACTGAAACTGGAAATCTTGTGTTTGTCTCTGCTCACAGTTTCCCGTTTATTTCGCCGTCCTCCAGAATTCTGCCATTATTCCGCCAAATTAAATTATTTTATATAAATTATTTTAAAAATAATTTTGTAATAAAATATTTAAAAGCAGAACACAATCATTATTTTTAATATAAATATAAAATAATTATTATTTTTTTTTTTTTTTTTTTTTCTCCAAAAATAATGATTGTGTTCTGCTTTTAATTATTTTATTACAAAATTATAATTATTATTGATTTTTATAATATTATTAAAAAAAAAGTTGGAAAGCAAACAAGTTGCTTCCCATGAAATCCCCAAATGTGCGAGGATTTCAAGATCTACCCCAAAATAGAGAACACCTGTGTTTATTTTCGTATTTTTTGTTGCTTGCTTGCTGCATTTTTATTATTTACTTATATATCTCTCCACCGGCAATCAATTGATTTTCATGCTACAGTATTTTGTTGTTGTTTTTCTTGTGTCTAGAAACTACTAAAATTAAATTTAAATGTAGTTATGAGCTTGTCGGATTTCCGCTGTTTGTTTTGTTGTTTGGTATTATAATTTTTTATAACTATTATTATGCGCTTTTATGAAAAAAATTCAATGTTTTTGTTTACGCGCTTTTTTGTTTTTCGGTTCGTTATTATGCACTAATTTGTGGGCAAATATTTTGTTTCGATACAAAACTATGAGTTATTTTTTATTTAGCTTTCCCTTTTTTTTTTACTCGATTTAGTTTTTTAAAATTATTATTGAATTTTGCGCTTGTCTTGACTTGGGTTCTTTTGTTTTTTTTTATTTTATTTTTTTTTGTTTATATTTTTTATTTATGGCTACTCAGCATTCAAAATCATTCACACGCACGCTATATATAACCTTGACCTTTACGTTTCTTCGCTTTATATGTACAATTCTAGTTAAAACTATTAAATGTGCTAAATTATAAAAAAAAACACAAAAAAAATTTGTATGTATAGTATATATATTTTTTTTAAATTCTTTACATATATAATATATATACTATTTATATTACTATATATATTTCATATGTTTTATGGGTAGTTGTCATAGAGTGGCTTTTATATATATATACGTGTCCTTTCTTTAGTTTTTTTTAGTTTTTAGTTTAGTTTGGCAACATTTTAAATTCGTTGCAATATCTCCACAGTTGCTGCTAACTCTTCTGCTTTTCTTTGCATTTATTTAGTTATATTTTTTTGCATTAGTTTACTTATAATTAGACAAAAAAAGGGTTAAATTATGCTCTTGCTTTGCTGTTTTTTGAGGGGGAAGCTAGGAGGAGGGGGTCATGGGTTCGGGGTTACTCCTTCCTTTTGGCCTGGTTTTTTGGATCCTACTGTAAGCTTGCTGAAAAATCATCCTCGTCCTTTTTTATTTTTTGGCTACGTGTGCTGCTGGTATTTACAATCGAATCAAAGTCTCCTATATTGTATATAGTAATATATACAGAGTGGTTAATATGCAATATCGCAAGTGAGTGGTGTGTGTGTGTGTGTTAGGTGTGTGTTGCTGCTGCTGCTGCTGCTGTTGTTTTTTTTCAGTATCTCCTCTCGTTTTGCCATTTTCCCTTAGATTTATAAGCTTAGATTCTTATTATCGGATCACTTGAAGCAATTTCTTGGCATTCGTTTTTTGGTCTTTGTCGGTGTCTGTGTGTCGATGTATCACTGTGTGTGTGGGTGTGTGTTTGTGTAGGTGTCTATCCTTGTTGTCGAGCAGTACCAGATTTTTAAGTGGAGGGGTTTCTTTCTTCTTTTCTGGAGAGAGAGAGAGAGGCGAAGGCCCGTTGTGTGTTGTTCAATTGATTTATCATTTCAATTTGTCTTTTTTTTTTGCTCATTTTTGTTCTGAAAAAAATTAAGAACAAGTGGGTAAAAGAGGGGATGAAAGAGAAATACAAATAAATGGCTTAGTTTGGTCAATTTATTTTCGGTTAAAACTCGCGAAAGGTGGCTGAGAATGCACAGAGAAAAAGGGGGTATCATTTTAAAAATGTCTTATAACGTAAAACATTTAAGTACAACAATTATAGCAAATTTACACTGAATCTGTAAGTTTTACATATAAAAACGTTAAAAAAATAATTTAAAAAAAAATATATTTATAAAAATAAAATACTATATACAAAATAATGATAATTTTTGTTTCTTAGCTATATATTTTTTAAACAGGTATCCTAAAAATATTTAATATTGATTTTTATCGCAAATTTAAGCCCAGACCTTAGCGTGTATTTTATAAATAAATACTTAAATAAATAAAAGCTAATAATTATATATTTCTACAAATAAAATACAATATCCAAAATTACTATAATTTTGGTTTTCATTTCCTTATTATATTTATTAAACACGTATTTAAAAAATATTTAAAACTTTTGCATTTTATTTTAAAGAAACTTAGAGTTTTCTTAAGTAAATAAAAAATAAATAAATAGCGGTTTCTTAAGTAAATAAAAAATATATAAAAAGCGGTTTATAAAATAAAATACAATAATTAAAAAATTAATAATTTTCGTTTTTGTCTCTTAATTATATTTATAATTTATTAAATATTGATAATACACAAGAAATGTAAGCCCAGCTTTTTTATGTACATATATTTAAAAGAAATTTTGGGGTTTAAGTAAATAAATAAATAAATATATAAAAATATATTAAAAAAAATAAAAGTATAATAGTTTTTGTTTTCCTTATTTAATAATCTTTACTAAGCACGTATTTAATGTAATTTTTATTGATTTATAAAGCTTATTAAAGACCAGGCTTCTGTATGTATATTTCAAAGAAACTCAGGGCTTAAATAAATAAAAACTGTTAATTATAAAGCCTACGTAAGAGTTAAAAAAATATATATACATATATGAAATCATTTAAGCATGAGTAATGCGCATTTTTCTCTGTGCAAAAGTCATTGACTTGCGCTATTGCTTACCTTTTTCTCTTATACAATTCAATAAATTATTGCATTTGATATGTTGGTCCATTGTTTCATTATTCGTTCCTAAAAAAATTCTTGTATTTCTTGGTTGCGTGTTTTCCTTCCCTTTAGAGTTTTCCTCTTTTTTTTCGTTTCATTTTTGCAATTTCTCCTTGTTATGCTCGGGAGTTTTCCCACGTTCTCTTTATATTATTTTCCTTTTTTATGGGGTGTAGGGGGGTTTTTAAATTGGGGAAAATTAGTGGAAATTGGAGGAGGGGGGACTATGTTATAGTTGTGTGTATTTTGCTGCTATATTAGTACTGTTTGTTATTGTTTTTTTTTTTTTACTTTTCGTTTACTTTTTTACTGAGTGAAATATAGAGAGAAGTGAAGAAGGACTCTTTCTCGGTTGCTGCTGTAGTTTTGTAGTTGTTGTGGTGATGATGCCGCTGGCGAAATCTATATAGATATATATATTCATCGAAATCGGTATCAGAATCAAGAATCAGGAATCGGGAATCACGAGTCTCGAGTATATAGAGTCATGAATCGGAATCACTATAGGTAATAGTCGCCCGTTAAGGGCATGTGACACGCGGATGCTGTGTGGTGTTGCTGTTGATGTTGCTGCTGCTGGTGCTGCTGATGCTGCTGCTGCTGGTGTTGTCCAAGTTGCGATGTTGTTCCTGCTCCCACCGGACCGGCTATCGACCCGGATACCGCTCCCTGTCCCGCTCCCGCTCCTGTTCCCGCCGCCGTTGCTGCTGCTGCTGCTGCCGCCGCTGCCGCTGCTGCTGCTGCTGCTGCTGATGCCGCCGCCGTGTTAACCGCCGCCGCTGCCGTCATAAACGACTATCAGTATCCGAATCCCGCCGAACCGTGGCCAGTCATTGATGGTGTTACACTACTAACTATACCTAATTGTGTGGCTGTATTATTTGATTGTCAGTGTTGTTGAGCGGCAAATTTCATACGTTTTTGTTTTTGACGTTGATTGCAGAACCAGACGCGCACCACGTTTTTCTTCAAATCCAGCTTTTCGGCAATGGCTGCGATTTTCTCACCGGACGGCCTCGGCTGGACGGCGAAGTAGGCTTCCAGGGAACGCTTTTCAGGTGCCGCAATGGAAGTCCTTTTTCTTGAAAAAAGACTCGATATAGATTACTTTAGAAGCGGGTCCCTAAGCCGGGGAAACGGACGCGGACAGGTGGTAATACGGCAAGGGGGAGGATGATATTTTTGTTTTTTTAATTTTTTAAATATTAATTTAGTCAATAATCAGTATTCCTATGGGTTTGAATTCGAGTAAAAGACAGCTTTTGAAATGTTAAATCTTTAATCTAACATAGAGCATAATTAAAAAAAAAAATAAATAATAAACTAAATAAATAATAAAATAAATACATAAATAAGTTTATTTTAATTCTTTATATATTAAAATAAGTATAAAAATATAAAAATTAATAAATATACATACTTTATTTAATTTATACTCATTATTTTTATTATTATTATTTAAAACTGACACTATAATTTTTAAAAATTAAATATTAAATAATAAAAATAATTAATAAATTAAATAACATTTTTGTGCTATTTTTTGATCCAACTGGCATTCAAACTCGATCCCATAAATCACTATGCTTTCTTGCGATGTTGCGCCAATTTTTTCGCTACTCCAATGCTGGAAGAGGGGGGTCTTGGGGGGTGTTGGGGATTTGCTCAGCGATTTCAAGCCAAGATGGGGCTTGGGACACAGGGAGATGTCTGGTGGGGATTGGGGTCGGCTAGCGGGTCGATTAAAACACTTTCTACCTTTTCTTCTCGCCCGCCGGCAGCACGCTGGGCGCGTCCGGGTCGCGTCTCTTGTTTTTCGCCTGCGCCTCGGCCTCCTCGAGCCACGCCTGCAGGATGGGCTTCAAGGCGATCATGTTGTTGTGCGACAGCGTTAGGCTCTCGAACCGACAGATCGTGCTCTGCGACAGTGCTCCGACGCCAGGTAACTTGAGATTGGCCAGGGCCTTGCCCACGTCGGCCTGCGTCACGCCTGTAATTCAATGGTATTTGTTAAAATAAATGTAATATAATTAAGTTTATATTATTTTAGAAATTAGTTTAGAAATTTGTAAGTCTTTTTGTTATATAAATAATAGTTTATAATATTTCAGAGCTCAAGAACAAAGTTTTTTTTGAATAGAACCCTTGATGATCCAGGGCTTATGGGGTGGAAACTTAAATTAATTTAAATTAATTTAAATTTTAATTTATTTTATAATAATTTTAAAAAGCCAGATAAATGCCAAGAAAAACGATTTTTTAGTAACAAACGAAAAGCTTTGACAAAGCAAGATAACAACCACACATAGATGGCGCCACTAGATGGTGTAAATAAATGAAAAATATGATAAATTAAAGTTACTAAATGGCCTTAAAAATGATAGATTTAAATAATTTAGGCTTTAAAAAAATATAAAAATTTTTTAAGTTTTTAATTTAATTTAAAAAAACTTGAAGCTTACCCAGCTTAATGCGTCGCTGCTTGAACCGCTCCGCAAAAGCCTCGAGCTCTCGAGGATCGGTGTCGGTGTCGGGATGCAGGCCAGCGGCCGCCACTGCCGCCGTGATGACAGGATGATGTACCGCTGAGTGTCCATGATGACCTGCAGGTAGGATAGAAGTACCAAAGAGAGGAGACACGGATAAGGAGGAGGTGATAGACGATTAACTCGGCTTGATCTCGATCACCACTTACCCCCCGTGTGGCCACTTAACGTGCCCGGATGGTGGTGGCTCATCATGTGATTCATGCTATGATAGGAACCGTGCAGGTGCTGATGTGTGGGCGTTAGCGGGGACTCCGATATGGGCGCCAATGTGGTCATCGAGCCCGTTGGATCCAGCATGTCCAGCTGGTCCATAGAATGGTGCATCTGTAAAGTCATGATCAAAGATTTAAATTTAATATGACATACTGAGAAAAGGTGGGATAAAAATGAAAATAATGTGGTATTTGTTTTGTTTTTTATTTATTATTATTATTTTTATTTATTATTTTTTTTTATTTATTATTTTTTTTTATTTATTATTTTTATTTTTATTTTTATTTATTATTATTATTCTTATGTATTATTATTTTTATTTTTATGTATTATTATTTTTATTTTTATGTATTATTATTTTTATTTATTACTATTATATCTGTTGAAATTATGGGTAATTCACATTTATAATTATTATTTAAATTGAAGTTATTAAATTTTGTTTTTTTCTTTTTAACCCTAGATAAAAGCCTGAAAAAAGCCTGAAAAAAGCCATTTAAATCATTCATTAAATTTAATATCAAATACTGGAAAAAGGTGGGGTAAAAATCAAATGAAGACAGTATCAATTTAATTATTATAAATAATTTAGCTCGCCTTTATTGTTTTATAAAGTTTTAAAGCTGCCTCTAAATAAAGTCCACACAGCTCCTGCTTCCTTAGAAGCCTTACACTTGTTACTTTTACCAAAAAAATACGAGAAGGAGGAGGCAAAGTTGGGGATTTTCGGGGTTCCCCGTTCATTGAACGCATCTTCAGAAAACTGGAAACGAAACGAAACGAGGCGAAATGGAACGGATACGAATATGGGATACGAATCCGCTCTCGCAACTCTTTTGTCTAGCCATCAAATATGTATGGAATTGTTAAATTATTTATACAAATATGAATAGCAACTAAAATCGTGTTCTCCCTGCTGCTGCTGCTGGTCTTGGTCCTGCTCCTGTGCCTGCTTCTGTTCCTGTGCTCCCCATTCCCCATTGCTCGTTATCCTTCGCTTGCTTTTGTGTTGCTTTGTTAAGCATTTAAACTGATTACAGCTGAAAAGTATGCTACAAATAGACGGGGATCCTAGCTCTGCTCCTGGGTTCCCTGCTACCTCTTCTCCTGGCTTCCCTCTCCATTGCTTTACTCCATTTCCATTCCGAGTGGGTTAAAGCCTTATGAGAGCTGTGCGAGCGAGACCTGGAAAGCACTAGAAATAGGAGGGCTTTTCCGGCGAGCGGGTCACTCATATTTATTTATCTTTTTGTGTGTGAATGTGGCGCAGTCGGGCGGGTAAAACTAGCGCTTACACTCCTCTTTGATTCTATGTACAAAGCGTACATACCACGCCCCCGCTTAGAAAGGCGTAGGGAATACCAGGGAAATGGAAAATGGACAACCACCAAAATCGGACCCCTGCCAATTATGTAAAACTCTAAAATGATAAGCACGATGGGAGGACTACTATAATACTGTGTATATATATTTGTGTGTGTGTTTATGTAGATGGCAGAAACTATGTAGAGACCTCATGCTACTGTTCTTGCTCCTGGCCCTCCTCTTCCTTCTGGCTGGGATGTTGCCGAATACAATGGCAAACTCTTCAATTATAAACCAATCCCAAAATTAGTCTGACGGTTATTGGTTTGCACCCTTGGCGGTGGTCTCTCTCTCTCGCTCTGTCGCATTTGGGGATGCAGGTCCTGCCGCGCGCTCTCTCTCTCTCTCTCGCACGCCAATGCTGCTGTCTCTTTCTCTGTTGAGAGCAGGAACCACCCTGCGCAAGGACAACACGCAGAGAGAGCGTGTAAGTGAGTAAGTGAGAGAGAGACTTGGCCATGGACCTGCTGAACCTGGAGCTGGAGTGGAGCCAGGAGGCCAGGATCTGCGTACCCCTGACTACGGGGGGTTCTGCCGAAAAGAGCCATAGTCCTGCTGCTGCATTGTGGTTGGCTGGGGCTTATGCAAAATTCATGTGGGCAGTGCCGATGCCAAACGCCGATGTCGCTGCCAGCGTTAACGTCAACGTCAGCATCGACCGGGATATACTTTATATATATGTATATCCTATACATATATATGTATATATACGCCCGCTCCTTTATCCTCTAACACTCGGTCCCCTTCTCGCAAAAGTCCATCTGCTCTGGCCATTTCATTAGGCGCATAATTTGTAATTAATAAAATTATTCAAAGGGGGCCAAAGGCTTCTGCTACAAAAGACTGCAACTTAAAGTTGGTTCGGATTTAAGTTGAATATGCACCGCAAGAAAATCAATGTAATATGACGCGGTAAAAATTTGAAAAAATATATATCAAATATTATTTTATTCTGAAATTGTGTTTATTGCTAGAATTTGTTGAGATTTGTAGAATCTTTGTGGAATTACCGAAAACTTAAATATATTTTTACAATTATTTATATTATATTAATTGTATATTTATATTTTTTGTATTTCTTTGTTTATTGTTTAGTTAGCTTTAAAGCCCCCTTAAGAATAAATACATTTAATAATGTCTTTTAAAAACATTTTATTTGTGCTGTTTTTTGGCTGATTTTTTTTTAAGAAAAACCAAATCAGACTGTTTCAAATATTTAATAAATTTTTTATTATTTTGTAAACGAAGTTTACCTTTTTATGTATTTTAACACGAAATGCACACAACATTTTCTAGATAATAATAAATTGTACAAATAAATTGTTTCAAGTAGCAAATACAATTTACAATCGAGAAGGCAATAGGGGATATTTAAGTAAAATCTAATAATTTATTTAATAATAAATATTAAAATAATAGAAAAGAAGCAGAATATTATAGTTAAGTGCAGCATTTTAAAAATGCTATTGCTTAGATATTATTTAAACCAACAAGATTTTTCAAACATATTAAATAGCTTCTGTATGTTTTTATGTATTTTTTAATTTATTTGTATTTATTTTTATTTATTTTTTTTTATTTTTATTTATTTTTATTTATTTATTATTTATTTATTATTTTATTATTTATTTATTATTATTTATTTTTATTTATTTATTATTATATTTTTAAAATTTTTGTCCAAGTCTATTGATCTAAAAAAAACCCAGACCCAAGCCAAGGCTAGAGCGAGACAAGGCCAGAAATCTGTTGTGCGAGCAAGATAGGCCTTTTCGACGGTGTGGGTGTGGCAAGCTTGGTATCTCCACCCCTTTATAGCCGGAGGACAAATCAAATGCAACAATAGAAGACAATTCCCCAAAAAAAATATTAAGAAAGAAAGAAAGAATAAACAAAAAAAGAGCGTAGAAAATACGAGGGAAAGGAGGGAACAACAATTGCATTCGGTGCTTCTTCAAATTGCCAAAAGTTTTCAGCATTGATTTTCTACTGCAATACATATACATATATAGACGTATGTATAATACATACGCACACATATATAATTTTTGCTGCAGCGGAGAGAGCAGCCATGTGTGTGTGTATGTGTGTGTTCGCAAAGACGCCATTTTAAAAGAGAAATACCCTGAACAAGGACTGGGAATGCAGAGATTGCGAGAGAGACTAGCTTAAATGTAAAAAAGGAATTAAATAAAAGGTTTTTTATGGTTTAATAAAAATTATGAAAACAAATGAATAAAACATATATTATACCTTTCATATTAATAGAATTGTTTAAGAAATATAATTGTTTAATATATAATCTCTTATAATTATACAAATAATTTTTAGAGAGACTAACTTAAATTAATAAAAGAAATTACATTAAAGGGTACTTTATGGATAAAAAAAAATTATTTAACAAAAAATAATAACAAAAAATTTTATACCTATTATTGTTATAAAATTAAAAAAAAATATATATAATTCTTAAATATATATTCTCTTTTAATTATAAAAATTAAAATTTGGAGAGACTAACTTAAATTAAAATTAAATTAAATAAACACAAATAATTAAAAAATACGAAAAAAATATATTATACCCTTTATAGTTATATAATTGTTAAAAAAAAGTCATTGTTAAATATTAAATCTCTTCAAGTTATAATAATAACTTAACTGACTACGTTTTAATAGAGTTTCTTTATTAAAACCTAACTTATTGGTTTAACTAAGTTTTCTAAAAATTAAATAAAAATAAAAATGTTTATAAACGAACTAACTTTTTTACTATAAATATAATTTTTAAAATTTTTATAAAATATTAAATAACTTTTTTTTAACGAAAAGAGTATTCCCTGTTCACAATTTGACTTTTCTTACTTTGCTTTAATTTTACGCTTTGACTTTGGTCGCCAGCTTCATTATTTATTAACAATTTTGCGAACATAATTTATTTATTTGCCGTTTGTTGATAAACATGTCCTGCTGTCCTCCTTTCCTTTCCTTTCCCTTGGCTTTGCCTTTGACTCCTTGTGTGAGTTTGTTTTTTTCTTGTTTCTTTTTTTCACCTCTCTGATTGTTTACGCGCAAATGACCTCATTATATACATTTATGTATATGTATATATATATATATATATATATAGGTATATATATCATGTAATTTGTTTTGTCTCCCCCTCTCTTACCTCCTCTTTATGCTTTTTTTGGTTTCTTGTTTTGACATAATAAAGCGTTTTTGGCACAATTTGTTGTAGTCTGTCTTTGTTTTTGTTTGTCGTCTGTCTGCCAGCCCTCTTTCTCTTTCTTCCTCTCTCTCTCTCTCTCACACACACACACGCTTGTGTGTGCGCTTTGTTATTGTTCATTAAATTTTTAGCACTGTTAATATATTATGGCGGAGACTTTTGTCACCCAGGCACAGGCACCCAGCACGAACAGAAAGAGCAAACTTTTCCCCTCGTCCTGTCAGATTTCGTAGCACACTTTCCTGCGCTGCGGGAAAATAAAATCAAGCGAGACTTGCGAAACTTTAATTAAGCCTCAAATTGAGGTTGCTTTTTTTTGGAATCAGTCAGCCTGGGATCTTTGGTTTTTGTTTATTTTGAAAAAGTTTTAATATATATTATATTGATGGAGTTGCTAGACTGGAGATTATTTTAAATTATATAAAAAATAAAAAAATTATATAAAAATAATAAATAATAATAAATAATAATTATATAAAAATAAAATAAATATAAAATACTCTTTTAAAGAGACT